GTTAAAGGAAGAAAAATCTTACTAGTAAGCAGAATCAACAAGCAAGAAAGGTCCCAACCTATCAAAATTACTGATTTGATAAGGAATAATGATAAGCTTAAGAGCGGGATGTCGTGCTGTATTCATTTTTATCAATGTGCATGCATGCGCAAGTCAATCTTTTAATAGTTAGTACTGATTATGCATTCACAAATCTTACATGCACATATATACTACTTGTTGATATAGCTCATATATTGACAAAGGAAGGAGGCAGGCCGATGCTTGCGAGCGGAGCGGAGCGAGCGCGGGGGCTCGGTACGGTACGGGGTATTTATGTAAATTTATACCTTGTAGGGTTATGATATAAATACATTGTGTATTGATGTATTTGGAATAACGAGTGAATAATAAGATCACTGCTCCGCCGTGGACGTAGGCACATTGCCGAACCACGTAAATCTTGTGTCATTTACTTTCTCGTCTTTAATTCGTATTGTCCTCGTTTCACAACACTACTCAGAATATTATTTATAATGTTTAAGAATTCAAAATTTGAAACCTACAAGCAAAAACTTATGTAACAAATCAAAATTTAGTTGTTAAAATTCATAACTGGTTGAATTGATTAATCTCTTTTAGTTATGAATAGTATCGTTTAATCTTATTGTCGTATATTCACTTGAAGTGTTTGATAAGTCAATCCTTATGAGTTTCTCAAATGGACGTTGTCAACAAACTAGACAACCAAAACACGAACACCATGCTCTAATATATCATGTAGATATGTCGTTTACCCAAAACAAAAAGCATATAAAATTAAACTTAATATTAAATAATATTTTTTAATCAGTTGATATTCGTCATCAATTTAATTTACATAATTTATCATCTGTGTTCCATGCATTTCACGAATCCAGGAGGCATAAGAGGATAATTAGACAGTCGTCTGTACTTTGTTGACAATTAACAAAAATTAACAAAATGTACCAAAAAAAGAGGCACAAATGAAGGTTTTGAATTTGAAATGGAAATAATTTCTCTTCTTCAACAAATTAACACAATTGTGATCGAGATTCCAGAATCTGTTTCACTCTTCTAATATATCATCGGAAGAGATAAGGCTCATAACGATCCCAAACAATGTCGTCAGCGGACATTGTTGCCGGAATATTAGACAACTCGAAAGAAGTCGATCGGTTGAGGAAAGAGCTGGATGAGGTGCTGCTCGAGATCAACAAGCTGCACAATAAGCTCCTATCCAGTCAGTGCCCATTTACCCTAATCACATTTGCTGCATCATTATTTTATCCTTATCTTCTCTTCTCCTCTTTCTTTCTATCAATCAATCACTAGGAAGGAAGAATACTTGTGCCTAATTTGTGTCCTTGTTATATTTGGGATTTAGGGATTGCTCAATTAACAAAGGAAGGAAAAAAATGCACCTTTTGTTTTCATTAATTAATTATGCTTTTTTTTTTTTTCTGGATACAGCTCCAGAGGTGGTTGAAAAACCTGGTGATTGTAGATTCGAGCAATAACCAAAAGAAATCAAAAACCAACGAAAGAAATGAACAATTTGGAAGAAATCGCCATTGCAGCTAAGAGCTTCAAGCTCTGTAATTTCACAGATCTTGAAAATGGAAAATTGGGTTCACGTAGTTTTTTAAATTCCCACAATTACATTAGCCATAATAAAGCCCAACACGTGGACAGGCTTAATTAAACCAATACACCAAAAAACTGAAACACGCTTCTATAAGTCATAAACGCCTTTGACATAAAATGCATAGAAAGAAAACAGATAATCCAACACCCCCCCCTCAAGTGGGAATGTGGGGAAACACACGCATTCCCAACTTGCCAATGAACTTCGTAAAATCGGCTCCTCCGAGGGACTTAGTAAACAAATCGGCCGGCTGCAGGGAAGAAATAATATGCTGTGGAAGAATGAAACCAGCCTTGTATTGATTGCGGACCACATGGCAATCAATATCGAGATGCTTAGTTCGTTCATGAAAGACCGGATTAGCCGTGATGTGAAGAGCTGCCCTATTATCACACCAAAGAGAAATTGGACGTGGCAAAGAAAGTGATAAGTCTTTGGCCAAGAAGGATAGCCATTGAAGTTCACACACCGTTGTCGCCATTGACCTATACTCGGCTTCAGCGGACGATCGAGATACAGTTTTCTGTTTCTTTGTCTTCCACGAAATGAGAGCTTGACCAAGAAATATGCAGTATCCAGTTAAAGAACGCCGTGTGAGAGCACAACTTCCCCAATCCGAGTCACAAAAGGCTTCAAAAGCAGCAGAAGAAGAAGAAGCTGTGTAAAATAAACCAAGTGTACAAGTTCCTTTAAGATATTTGAGAAGATGTAACCCTGCTGACCAGTGTGCCTGTGTAGGTGCTTGTACAAACTGACTTAATTGTTGGACGGCATATGAGATATCAGCTCGAGAAAGATTAAGATATAGCAAGCGGCCAACAAGCCTCCTGTAAGCCTCAACATTGTGAAAAGGTGGAGATTGTACTGAGGATAAATTCAAACCTTGTGGAAGTGGAGTGATCACTGCCTTTGCATCAGCTAGACCCAAATCATGTACAATATCCAGGATGTATTTTCGTTGATTCAAATAAGTTCCCTCAGCATCTCTGAAAATTTCCAAGCCTAAAAAGTACTTGGCTTGTCCCAAGTCTTTAATAGTAAAAAGGTGATTGAGATAGTCCTTAAGCTCCTTTATGTCAGTAATGGAATTTCCTGTAAGCAAGACATCATCCACATATATCAAAAGAGCCATGAATCTGTCACCACTTTTCCGAATGAAGAGACAATGGTCATGAGGGGATTGCTCAAACCCATATTGCATGAGTTTATCAGAAAATTCAATATTCCATTGACGTGATGCTTGTTTTAATCCATACAAGCTCCTCTTGAGCAAGCATACCTCTCCATTCTGAGCCTTCGGATATCCTTTTGGAGGCAACATATAAACTTCCTCGTCCAAAAATCCATGCAAGAAAGCATTATTTATGTCTATGTGATGTAGTTCCCATTTTCTTTGTGTGGCTAATGCAATGACCATTCTCACTGAAACCAATTTTGCCACTGGAGAAAAGCTATCAACAAAATCAACACCTTCCTTTTGTAAGAATCCTTTTGCCACTAATCGAGCTTTGAATTTGTCTACACTCCCATCCGGGTTCCTTTTTATTTTATAAACCCACTTTGAGCCAATTGCTCTTTTTCCCTTTGGTAATGTAGTAATCACCCAAGTCTGATTTGATTCCAATGCATTCAGCTCATTTTGCATGGCTTCTATCCATCTATCATCCTTAATTGCTTGCTCATAAAACATAGGCTCAAATAAAGATTTATTCACCTCAGTGAAAAAGGAATGAAAAGTACCTGTCATGTTAACATCATAATCCTTGAGCCAGCTTGGTGCCTTTCTCATTCTTGTCCCTCTCCTCAAATCTGTTGCAACGGAAGGGTTCTGTGGCATTAGGGATAAAGAGGAATCATCGACTAAGCCTTCATCATCCACAGCAGGTAAAGGAATAACTGGTGAAGTTGGCTCTGCAATAGCACTCTCTGTAGCAAAAGGAAATGTATCTTCATAAAAGATCACATCTCTTGAAACAAAGACTTCTTTAGATTCCAATCCATACACTCTGTATCCCTTAATTCCAGTAATATATCCCAAAAATACACAAGCCATAGCTCTCTCATCAAACTTTCTTTTATGGGGTATGACTTTGGTAACATAACACAAGCATCCAAAGGTTCTGAGCATGTGATAAGAAGGCTTTACTCCATGTAACAGCTCGTATGGACTTTTCCAACCAAGTTTTGCACTTGGCAAAGTGTTGATAATCTGAACTGCTGCTAACAAGCTGTAGGGCCACAGATTTTTCTTCAAACTTGATTGAAAAGATAAGGATCTAGCTACCTCAAGTATAACTCTATGTTTCCTTTCCACAACTCCATTTTGTTGTGGAGTGTATGGACATGTTCTTTGATGTATTATTCCTTGTTCCTGAATAATGGCTTCCAGCTCCTTATTCAAAAATTCTCCTCCATTGTCAGTTCTAAGTTGTTGAACCTTCACACCAAACTGCACTTCCACCATCTTGAGAAATGATTTTATATGACCACAAACTTCAACTTTATATTTCATCAGATATATCCAAGTTGATCTTGTAAAATCATCAACAATAGTGAGCATATAAGAGGTGTTGGTTAAAGATTCCTCACTGTGTGGCCCCCACACATCAACATGCACCAATTCAAAGCTCCTTTTAGTGTGTATTTGACTGAGAGGAAAGATTAGCCTACACTGTTTTGCCCTGTGGCATACATCACATATTCCCAACTCCTGTGTTGTAGCAATATCTGACAAGAAATGTAAATGTCTCATGCAATTCAAAGATGTGTGACCCAACCTCCTATGCCACAGTTTCAAATTTTCTTTCACACGCACTGCATTAACATAGTGATTTTGCCAACTCAGCACATATAAACCTGCAAGTGCTTTTCCATGAGCTATATTTATATTTTTCTTTGGGTCCACAAGCTTACAATCTTTGCTGGAAAAGGAAAAACAATACCCAGTGTCCTCTACCAGCTGTCCCACTGAGAGCAAATTATATTTGAAGTTTGGTATGAGCAAAACATTTTTCAAAGTTATGTGATCACTCACCTGCACATCACCCATCTCATTGACTTTTATTTTTGTACCATCTGGGAGATTAACTACTACTGGTGTAGTAGCAGCCACTCTATTCATCAGCATGTCGGCATGTGCACAAATGTGCCTACTAGCACCAGTGTCCACTATCCAGGCTCCTTTGTCAAGCTTGTTGATTAACAGAAAAGCATAGGTTTCTTTACCATCAGAATGGTCAATAAAGTGAGAGAAGCTGTGAGTTTCTAAATCCTGTTGTTTAGCCATGTATTTAGCAACCTCCCTTTGTATCAATGCACTTATATCAGGTGAGGTATCACTGTTTTGTGATTTAGTTTCTGTATCTCCCCTTGAAGAATCTTCACTCTCAGCCAAATTTGCATCCTCACTCTGTCTTTGTCCTTTCAAATCTTTATACCAATCTGGATACCCATTTAACTTGAAGCATCCACTTACTTCATGTCCATTGTATTTGCAATGAGTGCAATACAATTTTGCTCTCTCTTCTCTACTCATTCTAGTTCCACCTCTTCCTCTTGATCCATTATTGAAATTATATCCAATCATGCCTCTGCCACCATTGCCACGCCCAAATCCCTGAGTTCTGCCACCTCCTCGTCCATAGTTCCCTTTAGCCATCATAACAGATGACTCCATCATGTTGAAACCACCTGCAGCAATACTCTTTTGTTTTTCCACCTTTAAAATCATAGAGTAAGCCTTATTAATTGTGGGTAAGGGTTCTAACAGTAGAATCTGATTTTTGGCTGGCTCAAAGACCTCGTTCAAACCCATAAGGAACTGCATAAGCTTAATCTCCATCTCATTATCAGAAAAGGCCTTCCCTGAACCACATACGCAATCAGGCAAAGAGACGAGACAAGAGTATTCGTCCCACAAGCATTTTAGTTTTGTGTAATAAGCTGTTACTGAAAGAGATCCTTGAGAGAAATTAGCGATTTCTTTCTGTAATTGATACCTCAACGGGCCGTTACTCTCACCGTATCGTTCTGCCAGTTCATCCCATAACTGCTTAGCTGATTTCACACACATGAAAGCCTCAACTAATTCCTTAGAAATCGAGTTAAGTAACCAGGATATTACCATAGATTCGACCTTTTGGTATTGAATGAAATCTGGTGAATCCTTCTCTGGAACAGCTACAGTACCATTGATAAAGCTCAGTTTTGATTTAGCTCCAAGTGCGAGCTTCATCGCCCTGCTCCAGGGAAGGTAATTAGCTGCGGTGAGCTGATTTGAAACGAGTACCATCCCAGGATGGTCCGAACCATGTAGAGACAATGGATCTATGTCACGAGCATAAGAGCCTCTGCCAACGAGCTCTCGTCCTTGATCTTCTCTATTGTGCGCCATTAGTAACCTGCTCTGATACCATGTAGATTCGAGCAATAACCAAAAGAAATCAAAAACCAACGAAAGAAATGAACAATTTGGAAGAAATCGCCATTGCAGCTAAGAGCTTCAAGCTCTGTAATTTCACAGATCTTGAAAATGGAAAATTGGGTTCACGTAGTTTTTTAAATTCCCACAATTACATTAGCCATAATAAAGCCCAACACGTGGACAGGCTTAATTAAACCAATACACCAAAAAACTGAAACACGCTTCTATAAGTCATAAACGCCTTTGACATAAAATGCATAGAAAGAAAACAGATAATCCAACAGTGATAACTCTCTATCAAGGCTTAAGATGTTATACACTCAAGCAAAAGAGCTCTCGGAGACTGAAGCCAGGTATATTTAAATAGTACCCATTCATGATGTTAACAATAGTCTTAACTTTGATTTTCGGTTCTCTTTCCAACCAAATTTAATGGCTTAATCTTGGAGCCACTGCATAAGCCTGCATCTCAAGCTTTAATGTATCTTAGCTATAGCCTCATGTTATAAGAATTCTGAATGCTGCATTTGGATTTATATTTCACCAGCTACTTTCTTTCTTTATTGCAGCGTTGCAACACAATTATTAGGACAATTGGATGCTTTATTGCTTACGGGTACTCCTGGGCAACATCGAAGAAAGATAGGTTTGCAATTATGTTAGAAAGTAAAATGATTAATAGTACTTGTTCTGGCTTGGAGAAATCTTCATGACTGCCAAAGCAAGAATGCAGTCATCATGTAGAGATCTTCGGTTTATTCTTTCCTTAGGATGAATCACTATCTCGTACATGCTGACGGTATCATGTGAAATAAACATTGAAGAAAATAAGACAAGAAGAAGAAGCTATATTTTCAAACTGTACACTCTTCCTAGATATTTATTTCTGTTGTACAAATTACAAACCAAATAGGACTTTATTTGGAATATACTAACCTAGGGGGTGATTGTAATATCTGAACTTTGTAAATTTGGAAAGTTTTCTTTAAAAAAAAGAAATAAAATTAAATAAGTAGTCCGATCCCCAAAGTTCCCGATATTATAATATGGGATGGGATATTGGTTAGAGATAACTGCGATTTTGCACTTAACGTTTGAAACTTTTTGCTCACATAACTTACCTCTCTAATTATAGATACTAACATCGGAATCTCATTGAAGTGCAGAAGGTGGTGAACAGAAAAAGAAAAGAATAAAAGGCGATCCCGATGTCCTGAGATTGTCTCCTTCTACGCGAAGTCATCTTGAGTCTCTTGCAAATATGAAGGGAGAGCAAGTATGTATCTGCTTATACTTTATATGCCACTCATTCATACTCATTGTTTTAAATAGCGCGCTATGTAGCTCGCAATAGCACGCTATAGCGCTTTTAGATAAAAAAAAAAAAAAAAAAATGTGACGTAGCGTTATGTATTTAGGTTTTTCCCGAAAAGCTTACACGAAATGACGAAATGCTGAAATGACATGTTTTTTACGCTATATTTATGCATCGACATTTAAACAATAAAATATTCAAAAACTTGTATTTTTTAGGAATTAGAGTCATATTTTCAAATGACAACTTTTTGATGATGATTTCAAATTAAAAGGTTGAAAATGCAAAGTTCTAAGTTGAATAGTGCAATATTTATCGGTCTAGTTTTATTATATCATTTTATTTTTGGTATTTGAAATTTAAATTAAAGAATAAAAAGTTCAAATCTAGTGGTTAGGATTAAATTGTAGTTAAATTAAAAAAATAATTAAAATGTATATACTTAAAATCAAACTATGACTAACCTTATTATATTTTCTTTGTTTGTTTTTACATTTTATTATATTCGCTTTATTATTTAAATATTCATATTAAGATATTTACAATAAACATTTGTGAGATATATATCTTAAATGTTATTTTTGAATTCATTCAAATATTATGATAATTTTTGGAATCAATCATCAATTTTATTATATGCAAATATATATATAATATGTCTATAAAAATAATTTTTTTATCCAAATAGTTTACGCAACACGCAACGATATTTACGCTAATCAAAACACGACGCACTACACTCTACGCGTTTTAAAACATTGTTCATACTCCAATCAGAACTCCTTTTGTTGGTGTAAATTTTTGAATAGCCTCTTGTTGAGATGGGATAATGGGAATATTAATAATCTAGGTGGCAGCAAGGGTCAGTCAAGAGGACGCTGGAAGGGACGAGTGGTTTGTGGTTAAAGTAATAAATTTTGACAAGGAGGCACGAGAGTAAGTGTTACGTCTTTGTGGTGCATGTTAGATATTATGATACTTTTAAGGAAAATAAATACAAAAAAATTAAATTCAAATCATGATAACGTGTAGGTTTGAAGTCCTCGATGAGGAACCAGGGGACGACGAGGAGGGTGGGGGCCAGAGGTCGGCTATTTTCTTCTCTTTACTTCTTTATTTATTTATCAATGGTTTGACTACAAGTATATACCATCAAATATGGTTGAACTTAAACAAAGAAAAGAAGAAATAAGATAAAGGAAAATGAAAATGCAAATGTCCCCTTTAACAGATGTACTTGCTTAATGAATATCCACTTCAACAGGTGAACCTCTTTAAAATGAACATGAAGTGTATATGCTGTAATTTTGAAATGAATTGTTTTGTATTAGGCTGGGTATGGTAGTTTTGTAATTTATTTCCTTTATCTATTTATTGGCCTCCTTGGGTTTGGATCTTGAGAGTGGCTCTCATGCACCATAGGGTCATTTGTAAATTCAGATTGAAGTTTACCTGTATGCTTACACCCTCTTTGAGTTTTCTTATAATAACAAATGGTCAAGGTTTGGGCCTTTTGCATTCTATTCGAGGACTCGTCTTAACACGATGAATATGATAATCATTTCCAGTTTAGTTTCATATTTACTCTATGATATGATTCATCTGGATACGCTTTAATCACTTGATGAGTTTGACACTTCAGAAAATACAAGCTGCCTATGTCACATATTATACCTTTTCCAAAGCGGACGGATCTGTCCAGTGTCCAAGATTTTCCACCTGGAAAACATGTTTTGGCGGTATATCCAGAAACGACTGCCCTGTACAAAGCCACAGTTGTCCAAGCTAGAAAGGTACTAATTTTTTATTTTGGTGATTGTACTTGTGGAATGAAAGTGTAAATGGAAAAAGTGGTAAAGAAATTTGAGCTAATGATGAAAGAGCTAAATTACAAGAAGCTAAACAATTTTCACCTTTTCTCAATTCTAGCACCATCCTTGAACACTGGCAATTTTTAGTTTGTTCAAGTGTTTTTCGTCTCTTAATTTGGCAGTTAAATACTCTTTTTTCTGATGTTCATTGTTTTCCCAAAAGCAGGTTACTGGAACATTTTGTTTTACAGTTGAATACTCTTTAGCATTCAATATTTTGAAGAAAATGCTTTAATCTATCTTCAAAACACTAATTATTGTTGCTTCGCATGCTACATGATGATGGCCGACATTCATAATTTACATCAACCAGAGGAAGACTGACGAGTAAGTATCTTTACTTCTAATCAGTATTATTTTATTTTGCCTTCTTAAGTTCGATAAAAAATAACAAGACATTATTATTATCTTTTAAATGTTATAAAATCCAGTTGTCTTTTTATTTTTTCACTAAAATATGTATATATAAAAAAAATATTTTGTTGAACAGTTATGTGTTAGAATTTGATGATGATGAAGAGGATGGATGTTTGCCTCAGAGGTTAGTACCCTTCCACAGAGTTGTTCCTCTTCCAGAAGGATATCGTCAGTGATTCTATATAGCTTTAGTTGTAAAAATTGTCGTAGCCATCATTTCTGCTTAATGTTATGTATCCAAGTTTTATTAGCAAAACCTTCAGACCTGTTTTCATGCCTGATTTATGATGCAAATACTACCATCCATGATCAGTGGCAGACAGTATGACTATATGTATCTATGTTATTTGGTCTTTGTAGCTTAAACTTTCACTTTGCAGACACATATTTTTGAGTCTTTCAGTTTGTTTGTTAACAATAGGACTACTACCCCTGATTTTAGTCTAACTAATTTAAAAAGAAAAAAAAAATTGTATCTGTTAATATTTCAAGTATCTCGAGTTATGCATTCTAGAGCCAATATGTACCTGTAATATTACATGAAATTGTTGTTTATTATTCTTGGGTTGAAGTTGATCATTATTTGGATGCTGCTGTATTTAAGCAAAATCAAAGTATTGTGGTAAATGTAGTAGATAACCTTGACGATTGGCTGTTACTATTAGTTGATACTTGGCAGCATACATGTCAACGTAGACTGTAGCTGCCTCAGAAAGATTTGTCCTGTGCTTCACAATTTCATCCTTGAGAACTTTGCTCAACTGCTGAACAACATCGTTTGGGTCCTTGAGACAGCCAATGTCATCAACAGACCCTGGCGGCGCACAGGTTTTGGAAATTTAGAAACTGCGATGGGCAAACAACCATTTGGACCCACGTTGTGTATCCAAAATTCTCTTGCCCCTTTTTCGTATAGGACCTATAATTTTATGATTATCAGAATTTTGACTCGTGGGAGGACGCTGTTGGGAATAATACGCTGAATTTTCAATGAAGTCGGATCTATGAAAGTGAAATAAAAAAGAAAAGTTGGACACACCAAATTGATAACGGAGTTCGACCAATAATGCCTACGTCTCTGGACTATTGCAGATATTTTATTAGGAGAAAAGAAATACACTCGTGTTTACAAAACTCTCAAACTCACTCACAACTCATAACTCAAATACACACAGAAACTAAAATTCTTGTTTCTTACTCACACTCTTTTTCTCTTTCTTTTCTCTCTTTTTGGATGTTGTTCTTGGTGTTGTATCTGATGAGCTCATTTGCTCTCTATTTATAGATGCAAAAGTGCATCAAATTTCAAAGAAAGCATGCTGCTCCATTTTCAACATTTGGTGGCTGCTACAATTTCAACATTGTTGGTCTCTTTTTAACAGACGCATTGTCACTTGTGGAGTTCGCCTATAACAATAGTTATCAGGCGAAGATTCATATGGCACTGTACGAGGCCTTATATGGACGCGAGTGTAGGTCTCTGTTGTATTGGGACGAAGTCGGCGGAAGGAAGATTCTCGGTCCCGAGTGTTAGTCAATTAAGTGTTAAATTAATTTGCTAAACTAATATTCCAACCACTTGATTCTTATTCTTCCAACCACCTTATTAATTATTCAACCAATTCCAACCACCACACCAAATTACCAACAACTCTTATATTTTATTCATCCACTTGTCCATTTGGTTGATGGTATGCGAGAAGAAAATTGACAACCTCTCCAACTTGCAACCCATTTCTCTTCTATAAAATAATGTATCTGATCATTTGAGAAAATAACAGAAAAAAGATATACGGAAGAGATGGGGAGAAAAAGAAAGAAAAATAGAGAGAGATGAAAATAGACTGGAAATCAGTCCAAAAAATAGTTGAGAGATAAAAATATTAGTGAGAAAAATAGAGAATACGCCCCGTGTAGTGCTAACGGTTCGGGCGTAACGTCCCCAAAGGTACAACGGCGATCATCTCGAAATCTGTAGCACACCAGATTACGAGCTTCGGCGAACTGGAACGGAGTCGAGAATTGAGCACTTAAAATAGGAATAAAATTATCTCTCTTTTGCTATTTTGATAACATATAATTTTTATATTTGTTTTTCTCTCTATTCTTCCCACAACAATTCTTTCTCTATCTCTCGTACTTTTCTCTTCTTTCTAATTTTTTCTTCCCTGTGGTTATCTCCTTCAGCAACTAAACACACATATTTATATTGAGAGATGAGGGAACAAGATATGGCTTGTCATACTGCATTATTACAATTATTGTTACAAAGAAAAGAATAGGTATGGGCACCAATGCATGGGCAACATATTGATCAAGTGGAAGAGGTCCTGCACGCAATTATGCACTTCAAATTGACAAATGGAGACAAAATCAAGAGGCACACTATCCAATACTCAATTGGAATTTTTTTTTTTAAAATATAAGAAGAGCCCATACTAATTTATTTCCTCTCAATAATAACAATCTCTCACATGAGTGGAAATAAATTTATGCATGTATGTAGACTCTTGTGCTCAATCCTCACAAAACTCTATTGCATTAGAAAAGGTAGTTTGTGGCTTTGAACTTTTCTTAGTAAACATCATCGGATATACTGGCGGCCTAGTGGACAAATGCCTTGAACTATTCCTCCATAATGTACACCAAGACAATGACATTCACACAGTAGACACTTAACTCCATCTCGTTATATTGTTGTGTCCGTTTTGGCCATGGACAACACTTTGGATTCATAAGTTTTACGTTTGAAGCGGCCCTCACTTCACACTTATATAAGTGACCTCCCTATCAAGAGTATCTTGTATTACTCCACCTCTAAAAGGTTAGGGATTCATTAAAAGTCTAGATGACTTATCCTCACCACAATCAACAGGTCATCCTGCACTTGGAGTGCTTTAGGGAATAGTTTTGGACATTCTTTGTATTCCAAGCGCTCAGCTGAATTTTCACAATTTAGTTTTTCCCTTGAACCAAGTTCATTCAGCATGGTATGGTTACCACTATGATCATTCTTTACATTGTGGATTTTAAGCGCATTCCCTCTAGCCAATTATTCTCTATTTAATGCTTTCGTCAAAGGATCATCTAAATTTTCCTTAGACTCTACATAGTCAATGGAAATAATACCATGCACGATCAATTGGCGAACGGTATTATGTCTACGACGAATATGTCGTTATACATGTTGCTTTGCGTCCTTTCTATAGCAACTTGGTTATCACAGTAAATCATCATAGGCGGCAAAGTCTTATTCCAACATAGAATATCAGATAAAAGATTTCTAAGCCACTCGGCTTCTTCACCAGCTTTATCTAAAGCGATGAACTCCGATTCCATGGTTGACCGAGCTATACAAGTTTGTTTTGTGGATTTCCACGAAACTGCACCTCCTCCAATACAGAAAACATGCCCGCTAGTGGAGTGAGAATCTCTCGAATCTGATATCCGGCTTGCATCATAGTACCCTTTAAGTACAGTTGGGTATCTCGAGTATTTTAGCCCGTATTCAAGGGTGTACTTTAAGTATTTAAGTACCCTTTTCAAAGCATTCCAGTGCTCATGACTGAGATTGCTCGTAAATCTGCTCAACTTACTCACCGGATAGGCCAAGTTTGGTCGTGTACAGTTCGTTAGGTACATCAGACTACCTATTATCCGTAAATATTCCAATTGAGCTACTGGTTGACCTTTATTGGCTACCAGATTTATGCTAAGATCAAGGGGTGTCCTAGACAGCGGACCATCATAAGCATTAAATTTCTTGAGCACTTTCTCTACGTAGTGAGATTGTGACAAAACAATTCCTCTTGAGTTCTGTTAATCCTTATTCAAAGAATAACATCTGCTAAATCCATATCTTTCATGTCGAAATTTCTCTTCAACATTCTTTTCGTACCCATGATCACTTCATGGCTACTCCACATGATCAACATATCGTCTACATATAGACATACAATTACAAATGTATTTGATGTACTCATAACATAAACACGTTTGTCACATTTGTTGATTTTGAACTCATTTGACGTCACATCATCACATTTCAAATCCATTGTTTTGGAGCTTGTTTCAGTTCGTAAAAAGATTTGATCAGTCTGCACACTTTTTTCTCTTGTCCAGGTGCTACAAAACCTTCGGGTTGTTCTATGTAAATTTCTTCTTCCAATTCACCATTCAAAAATGCCGTCTTGACATCCATTTGGTGAATCTCAAGATTGTGCACCGCAGCAGTCGAGAGAGCACTCTTATCGACGCTAAACGCGTAACTGGTGAATAGGTATCAAAGAAATCATACCCTTCATTTTGTTTAAAGCCTTTGACCACCAATCGTGCTTTAAACTTATCAATCGATCAATCAGCTTTATATTTTCTCTTTAGGATCCACTTGCATCCTAATGGTTTACAACCCTCAGGGAGATCAACTAACTCCCAAGTATGATTTTGCATAATGGACTCGATTTCGCTGTTTACAGCTTCTTCCCAGAGTGGTCCATCTGGGCTGGACAGAGCTTCCTTAATGGAACTCGGTTCATCGTCCAACATGTACGTAATAAAATCAGGTCCAAACGTTGTTGTCGTGTTTTCCCTTTTACTACGTCTCGGTTCTTCATCAGTACCATCTGGTACAGAACCGCTAGCAGTTTCATACGTTCGTTTATTAAAACTAGATTCTGCTCTTTCCTTCAGAGGTAAAATATTCTCAAAGAATATAACATTCCTCGACTGAATTGTGGTACCAACTGATGTCCCATTTTCTGATTTATGAACCAGAAATCTATATGCTGTACTATTGTACGCATATCCAATAAATATACAATTGACCGTCTTTGGTCCGATTGTCACTTGTTTGGGTTCAAGAACTGAATCCTTAGCCAAACACCCCTACACTTTCAGGTATTTATAAGAGGACTTACGATTTTTCCATATTTCGTAAGGAGTCTCATTTTTTCCTTTAGGTGGTATTTTATTCTGGATATGATTTGCTGTTAAAACAGCTTCCCCCCACATGTTTTGGGGTAATCCTGAATTTATCAACATGGCATTCATCATTTCTTTTAAAGTACGGTTCTTGCGTTAAGCAACATCGTACAACTGTGGAGAATAGGGGCCGTTGTTTGATGAATTATGCCATATTCAGAACATATTTGTTCAAAAGGAGATACATACTCCCCCGCCCCTATCACTTTGGATTATTTTAATCCTTTTGTCGAGTTGATTTTCAACTTCGGTCTTATAGTTTTGAAACGCTTCCATAGCCTCGTCTTTGCTTCTTAACAAATATAAGTAGCAAAACCTTGTGCAATCATCGATAAAAGTTATAAATTAATTTTTACCCGTTCTTGTTTGCACAACTTTCATATCATATACATCAGTATAGATTAAGCCTAATGGTTCAGTACTCATTTCCACCGAGTGAAAATGTAACTTAGTCATTTTGGCTCCAACATAAATCTCACATTTTTTATGTGATTCAATTTTAGAATTAGGAATTAACTAGTTTTTGTCTCGTGCATTTGCACGGAAAACTATATGATACAGGAAAAAATAATAAAAATTATAAACAATAGTAAAAATCATTGAAAAAAAATTAAGAAAAAAAATATAAATATTCTTAAACACTTCTTTATAAAACAACGTCGTGGTTTTTCTATCGTCAGAATCTCCATCAGCACAAATCAAAATCTTCAAACCCCACTGACTCGTAACTCTAAAAAGCGCCACGAATAATTGCTCATGACTAAATGCAGAGCTCTTCAGTAGTAAGCCGACGTGCAACAGAGACTGTCTTTGACTCTTATTGATCATGTCATAGCATAGGAAACACTTCTTTATATTGTTTGTCCTTGACTCTTATTGATCGATAGAGATTGTCCTTACTTCTTAATAAAAAAATACCATCTAAATATAAATGAGAAAGTATAATATTAATTTTATATAAACAAAAAATTTAAAGTAATTTATAATGAGTATAAATTAAAGTAATTCATGATTGTCTATTGTAAAATAAATCAAACGTACTTAACCGCTCAAAGAAGCATTTATGATGTGACTTATGGAACTATTCTGAGACGAACCTTGAAAATTTGCGAATGGAGTACCTAAAATAAAAAATTAATTCATAATCAACAAAATATATACAATAATAACAATCTTTCTTATAATGAGATAACATTTAATAATGATACAAAAAGTACAACAATAAACAAAGTATATACCATATTCTTGGATAATATAATGCGAATTTTAAGTGACAACCGATCTTTAGAAGGAAGGTGTTGCAGTAGGCATATCAGATAACGTACTCACAATAATTAAATTGATAGAGTTAAATTATAAGCTACAATGTATTTTTTAAAGTTTTAGGCACAACATATAAATTATTTATATTATAAGATTTATTATGTAAAATATTGTGGCAATAATAAAATGAAGCAATCATATTTTCATGAAAGCTTGTAATATAAAAATCAATATTATATGTTTTAAAATCATTTATGTAATGGTTTTAATTTGAGGTCAATTTTGTGTCACAAATTAATTCTTTTGTACTATATATTGTATCAATCTATTTTTGGTCATGTATTTATAAAATATGAGCCCAAATTTTGAAAGAGAATACAATTGGGCTATTTTTAGGAATTAGGTTTTATTTTACATTAGGCCATTCCTAAAAATTCAGCTTGGGCCAGTATTTTAACAATGGGGCACTATTTAACATATGGCCGCTGAAATCAAACAACCCAATAGGAAGAATGGAGCAGCAATACGACTTTGAATAAGGGCAAAAAGATCATTTCTTACTTCATGCAAAATCAAGAATCAACACATGTCTAGCCAGCTGGCTTGGACATTTAAATACTGAGAAACCCTAATCCTACTCCATTCACGCATTTCTCTCGCCTCTCTCAAATCTCTTTCGGTGACTCTCTCTCTTCTTTGTTCTCTGTACTGAAAACCCTTATCCTCATATTTTGTTGCACAACTTTTCACCAATAATATTGCCAAAAAGTATGATTCATCGGTGATTTTATTATATTTTTCAAACCAATATTAAAAAAAACACTTGAGATTTTTTTTTCGAGACAAAAGAGAGATGACAAAGTGAAATCGTCCCGATTATAAAGAACCGATTTACTGATTCATTATATTTCAGTTAAAATCAGGCGATTACATGGTAAATCTTTGAAGATCTACAACATTTTTCTCTGGATTTTTTTTTGTTTTGCTTTTTGAATAATTTTTCGATTAAAATCGTTATGACATAATAGATTTGTAAAGATCTGTATTTTTTTTCCGACGAATTGGAACCGCCCGCATCATGATTTTAAGAGGCCGATTAAGGCCCTTTTGTTATATTTAATCACAGTCAAAAATTTTTTTTATGTATGTTTAATTTTTTTTTTTGTGGATTCAAGTTATTTCAACGATGTTCTTTTTATATATCTAAGAGTTAATTTTTTTTTCTGATTTATATGAATATAAACACATTTAACTAATTTTTATAAAATTTATTGAAAAAAGTCACTATTTTTTCGAAAAACTGATAAGATATTACGATAATACTGTACTTAACATAAATGTGGGATTAATTAAAAGAAACTTTTTTAATTTAGTCATTAAATAATAGGTTTAACTAAAAGAAACCTTCTTAAATGTGGGTTAAGAGTAATTAATTGAAAAAAAATGTAACTCCTTTTGAAGGGAAAGTGAAAATGTTATTATTAAATGTTTTATTAAATGGGATTAGCTAGTAATTATATATATATATATATATATATATATATATATATAGATTCTAAGTTTATCAATCGTTTAATTGAATTTAGATTTACATGTCCTAATCTAATATGTCATAAATCAGAGCACTCAACGGTATAAACAGAAATAGGCTTTTCATTATCATTTAAAGCGGTTATACGGCTAACGTCCATTACATTCATTTTGAGCAAACCTTTGTCGAGATAGCCACGACTAAGGAAAGTTCCAAACTTGCTAAGAACAAACTTCTTAGCATCAAATACCAGCTTAAATCCATGCTTAACAAGAAGAGATCTGGAGACCAAATTCTTGCGGATGTCTGGGACATGCAGAATATCCTTAAGCTTCAACTCCTTTCCAGAAGTTGGCTTCAGCACCACAGTGTCAACTCCAGCCACATCAGACGTGGAGGAGTTTCCCACATGAAGTTTCCGACCAGTAGAAGGAGTGTATTCAGGAAACAACTCATTGTCGGAACACACATGGCGAGTGGCACCAGTATCGGTGTACCACCCCCTTGGGTTATCCACCATATTGCACAACCAACATATCAAAGTCGGTCAGTTCACCAGGCACATGGCAGTGTTCAGCAACGTGAGCACTCGGTTGCTCCTTCTTTTGCCTAGCCTTCTTAGGCTTTCTGCAATCCTTAGCCATATGGTTTGGCTTTCCACAGTTGTAGCAGGTGCTGGTAAACTTCCAAACCTTGGCTGGCTGCTTACCTTTGTCAAAGGACTTCTTCTTGCTCGAGTTGCCTTGCTCCAGCAAGTTAGCACGAGCCTCCATAATCGGAGTTTTCCCCGATGAATTAAGGTTGTCTTCCTCAATACGAAGACGAACAACCAGGTCTTCAAGACTCATTTCCTTCCTCTTATGTTTGAGGTAGTTCTTGAAGTCATTCCAACTTGGCGGCAGCTTCTCAGTCACAGCCGCAACTTGGAATGACTCGCTCAGAGACATTCCTTCAGCATTGATATCGTGCAGGATGAGTTGGAACTCTTGCACTTGAGACACAACGGTCCTAGTGTCAACCATTTTGAAGTCAAGAAATTTGCCGACGATGAATTTCTTCGCCTCGGCATCCTCAGTTTTGTACTTCTTATCCAACGCAGCCTAAAGTTCTTTGGCAGAATCAACCGAGCTGTACACATTGTACAACTCATCACTAAGTCCGTTCAAGACATAGTTACGGCAAAGGTAATCACCTTGCCCCCAAGCCTCGTACGCAACGCGTAGTTCAGCATTGGTTTCATTTTCAGTAATGACCGGTGGGTCGTCCTTCAGGTATTTCACCAAACCCAAAGTGGTCTGGTAAAAATACATTTTTTGTTGCCATCTCTTGAAGTCAAGTCCGTTGAATTTTTCGGGCTTCTCAGCAGTAGGGACATGGACAGCAGGTACAGGATGATGATGAACACCGTGGTTAATCGGCTTCGGAATGTAGGAACCATCTCCGGTGGATGCCATCAGTTCAGTAGGTCTCAAGATATTCGTCTTGCGATTGTTAGAATTAATAGGGTCGAATACGCCCCATGTAGTGCTAACGGTTCAGGCGTAACGTCCCCAAAGATACAACGGCGATCGTCTCGAAATCTGTAGCACACCAGATTACGAGCTCTGGCGTACTGGAACGGAGTCGAGAATTGAGCACTTAAAATAGGAATAAAATTATCTCTATTTTGCTATTTTGATAACAGATAATTTTTATATCTGTTTTTCTCACTATTTTTCCCACAACAATTCTTTCTCTATCTCTCGTACTTTTCTCTTCTTTCTAATTTTTTCTTCCGTGTGGTTATCTGCTTCAGCAACTGAACACATATATTTATACTAAGAGATGAGGGAGCAAGACATGGCTTGCCATACTGCATTATTACAATTATTGTTATAAAAGAAAAGAATAGGTATGGGCACCAATGCATGAGCATCATATTGATCAAGTGGAACAAGAAAATTCTTATTTTCCTTCACGCAATTATGCACTTCAAATTGGCAAATGGGGACAAAATCAAGAGGCACACTATCCAATACTGAATTGCATTTTGTTTAATAGAAGAAGAGCCATACTAATATATTTCCTCTCAATAATAACACCGAGATCATCAAGAAGACAGTGGAGCAAGTAGACGAGATCCGAGCGAGGATGAAGGCAGCAGAGGATTAGCAGAAGTCCTATGCTGATCGGAGGAGGAAGGATCTGCAGTTCGAGATAGGCGACAAGGTCTTCCTAAAGGTCACACCGATGAAGGATGTGATTCATATCGGGAAGAAAAAGAAGTTGCAATTGCGCTACATCGGACCTTTCGAGATCCTAGCCCAAGTCGGCAAAATCGAACTTTTTGCCCTTTTTGTGTCTTGCCATCTACCATGCACGATTTAAGTGGTCATGTCATCGAACACGCTTTTAATTCATCGCCCAGGTGTACTAATGTTAAGACACGTCGGCACAACGTGTCTTTTTCGAGCCGGAAAAGGCAACTCCGCCTTCGATTGAAACTAAAAAGTTAGTGGACAGGTTTTGGGATACACCATTCCATTGTTTTGCTGTGGTTCACGGCCTTTTTGAAGTTCTCTAAATTCCAAACCAAATTCACGTCCGAACCCAATCAATCAAGATGAATCCATTAGGTACACTTTTGCTACTGAGTTTGATTCTCGATTGGGATAAAACGGTTTTCACATAAGATTAATCCCATCAGTTTAATCCAACACCGTGATTTTGGGATTAATTGCATTGATTTTCATTACGTTTAATGCAATACTGTGACACAGAGAAACATGAAAGAGAAGATATAGTAGTAATTTTGATCCCTATATATAAATCAATGTTTGTACTCAAATAACTAAACTATTTGATCATCATCATCGTTTAGCACAATAGTGGATTGGAGTACAATATAGAATAAATAAGATGATGGAATAAATAATGAACTAATAGGAATTTGATTGCGTTTTCATACAACTGGCACTTGCTTGCTTATGACAGGCACGCGAGACTGCGACTGGTGGGTCGGATAAAGACCCGCTAACTATTCGGTCTGCAATCCATTTGTTTGCAGCTTCACTATAGTGCACCCCATCCCAGCTGATAACTTTAGAAGGATTAGGACAAGAACCTGCAAATACTTGAGTACCGTTTACATTTCCCGTGTTTCCACAATAAACATCATAGTCAATCCCATGATAGCCGCAGCATGTGGTGAAAGGGTCTTCAAATCCTGCAAAATCCCCAACAATAAGTGATCTTATTAAAATGATACGAACCAAATTTGGGTGCAACTTAATCTTGAAAATCAATTTCTTGCTCTTAATATCTATTGAGTAGCGGTTTTGTGGTGAATGTAATGGGTAAATTTTAATTACCTTGATTTTTGGCTGTGGTGATTAGTTCATACTTGGCAGCATACACATCAACATAGACTATGGATGCATTGGAAAGATTTGCCCTCAACTTTACAATTTCATCCTTTAATACTTTATTGAATAGCAAAGCTACGTCGTTTTGGGTCTTCACACACCTAAATTCATCAAGGTAACCTGGCGGCGCAGGCTTCTGTACCTTTGCAATTGCCACAGGCAAACACCCAATTGGACCCGTGTTGTGTATCCAAAATGTTCTTCCTCCTCTTTCATATAAAACCTTCAATTTTATCATATCACATCTTATAACCAAATTTTTTTTACTATATATATGAAAAATACATAAAGGGAATGAAACTTACTTCAATTTGTGAGATAAACTGAGCAACGATTCTAGGTATGGCTTCCTTTTGGAGTTGATAACTTAAAGTTCGAATACCAAAAGCGACATCATTTTGACCTATGTCCAATGTGAAAAGCGCCTTGGACAAATCCAAATCAGACTTTGGTAGTCTATTTCTTACGCACTCGTCCTTGCCTATAATCATATAATGTAATTTTTCAAGACTCTAATACCTATTATTANGTTGCGGATAATTACAAGACATAGGATAATTATACTAATGATAATTATCCCTAATAATGTAGTTATAATAGTAATTATTAATGTGGTATGATTTTTTCTTACTTACTTTGATTGTATAGATGAGGTGCTCTATCTTTAAGTTGAGTGTAATGCTCAACTTGGATTTCCAGAGGGAAGGGGCTGACACCAGTGGCAAACCAGGTCTCGTTAGGCTTCCCAATGGTTGCACCTCCTGTTGCAAAATTTGCACCTTGCTGGTAATTGGATCCAATTGAATCCAGGTATGCACTCAAGTATGGTATCCCCACACTATCAGCTTAATGCCAAAAAACAAAAGGAGAAAAAGAAAAAGAAAAGGTTTGAAGACGCAGCAATAAAGCCTAATTTTAGTTACCAATTATTAAAATTTAAATAAGGTTTCGTTACAAATTCATACAATAGCTAGTTAGTATAACATTTTGAAATATTTAGAGAATCGGGCAAGAGGGTGTTGTTCAATGCAGATGAAGCGCACCATAAGAGGGTGGACCTAAGTACACTATAGTGAGGTTCTACCCCAAAACCATGGTGATGGGAAGAGTAGCCCACTAGATATATAAGCTAGGCTTAATTTCTCTATAGAAAGCCAAATTTCCCTATAGAATCAATGTGAGACAACTCAAGTGATACTCCAACACGCCCTCTCACTTGTGAGTCCTTCATAAGCCCAATCCCAGAGCAGGCCGGGTAACGATAGAGAACCAGCCGAAGTTGGCCGGGTAGAGATAGAGACCCAGGCAGGAGTCGGTCTGACTCTGTTACCATGTAATCTTTAGAGAATCAGGCAGGAGGGTGCGGTCCCACGCAGATGAAGCGCACCATAAGAGTGTGGACCTAGGTACACAATAGTGAGATTTCATCCCAAAACCAATTGGTAATGGGAGGAGTAACTCACTAGGTATATAAGTTAGACCCAATTTACCTATAGAATCAATGTGGGACAACAAACAAGTGATACTCCAACACATTTAAATAAGATTTGGTTACACATTTTTTAAAAAAATATTTTATTTTATAGTAATATATCATATTGTATGCCCATTTTTGTAACGCTTTTCTATGTCTTGAAAAAAAAAATACTTTGTTTTTATTTTGATACTATATATTTTTTTGGTATTATATAATACATATTTCACAACTAATTAAGAATGACTACAACTATCTCGATTTTCTATTGCAGTTATACAATAATAAAAAAATATTTTTTCAGATATTACAAAGATACATCAAATATATTGAAAAATCAAATCCGAGAGTCACGAGTCGAAGGTGTTTAACTATAATGATTTGTTGTGATGAGATTCTGACGATAGAAAAACCACGAATATTATATAATAAAAAGTGTTTAATAATATTTAGATTCACTTTTTTAATTTTTTTCTCATTTATTAAGTTATGATTTTTATTTAATCTATATTTTTAAGTACTTTCTCTTTTATTATACCACTTTTCGTGCAAATGCACGGGGTAAAACTAGTATAAAAGAAAAGGAGAAGTATTAATAAGAATGTAACTAAAAGTTACACTTTATATAAATGAAATGAAAAAGGAAAGTATAAAGTGCAAATTTGTAAGTTGTAACTGAAAATGGAGTGGAAAAATAATGCATTGCATTAAAAACTTTGTCCCTAATTATATATGTATAGATTTAATATGAAAGCAAATCATGAAATTTTAAAACTTTAAATAAATAATATTCCATGACAAATTAAAATAAGTAAATAAATGAAGTTTTAAATAATATTTATTTTAGTGTCTATATTATAGACTCCTACATCAAATGAGTACACGTGCTAGTATAAAATATTAAAAGTAAGAAAAACAGTACATATATTTAACTGAAGAAGACGAGAAATAAAAGAATTGGAATGTATACAGATTTTTAATGTAGACAAAATATAAATGAAAGTTTTCAATTTTAGTAATAATGGCGTGGCCGAAAATGAAAAGTATTGCAATTTGATTCATTAACTTTGTTCATTGGAAAAAGAAAAAGATTGCAATTTGATTCATTAACTTTGTTCATTTTTTATTTTTATCGATTAACTTTTTGGAAATTTAATTTGATACCATAATTTTAATTTTGTGTAAATTTAATCCAAAAACGAAGTGTCCTAAAATTTAAATTAAAATTCTTTTTGATTACGTGCCTAAAATCTAAATTAGATTTGAGTAATTATGTAAAGAGACATAAAACAAACAAAAGAAGTCATTCTCTAATTTTGGACTTCAATGCTAGATTCCCGTCATTCAGAGGTCCGAATTGTTTATCTGGATATACTTTTCAAATATTATGAAATAATCTTAGTAGAAATATAAGTTCGATAAGATTTGACGATCGAATTTCTAATAGGACACTGGTAATTAGGGTCAACAATTTGATAATTCTTTTTTTGTTGCTTGGTAGAAGATTTGCCATCAATTAGATTCATAAGCCGAAACCAAGAAGATAGCTAAATATATCTGATCGAGCAATTCGATTGGATATATTCCGTAAAATGGCGAATGGGAAAATTTACTCAAAAATGAATTATAACATTAATGGAAAATTTAACATGTCACATAAGTAAAAGAGATTGATTTTTTACTTAATTAAATGCTTAATAGATCAAGTGTGATATCAAATCTTGTTTCACATGATTTTTAATTTATATGTAATTTTAGAATTTGAATAAGTAACTAATTAGTTTTATTATATTGCAGCCCTATTATATTTTTAATAAAATATAATTTTCAAAAGAATAATATCACATATTTCATATTCGAGAGTAAATATGAATATTGGAGAGAAAGATTGAGAAATAAATTAACTACGATTGATTTAGTGAAGATATGCAATAAAAAATAAAATAAAAAAGAAGTGATTACAATAATTATGAAAGAAAAATATAAAATGAAATAAATAATGATTGTTTAAATGAAAGAAAATATTTAATATATTATGGAATTAACCATGCCTAATGGACATTTGACATGACACCCGAGCATAATTATTTATCAATCCAAAGCATAGAATTATGACAAATAAAATCCTGAAGCACGCGATCCTGCCTCTTAGGCTTAGCACATTCGGAAATTATACGTCGGAGGATAGTTGGTAAAGTAATGCAGTTTTAATGACAACTAAACTAAAATAAACATATTTTTTATACCTTAATGATGAAATAATAATTTAATGATAGTATTAGAATATGTGTATATATATATATACACACACATACATGTGTGTATTCTATTCAAACCACTTCGAATCTGGTTGAACCTTGAACCGGTGGTTCGCCCACTGGTCATGGTTTGAAGTCGAAACTATTGCCAAATAGAATAATATTTTAATATTATAGAAAATAAAAAGGAAACAAAATAAAATAAAATTATAGAAACAAATATCTCATAGAATAATTTTCATATTAACAAAAACAAATAGAAGTCTTCTAGACAGACGAATGGAAACCTAGATAAAAGAACAAATAAAATGAAAAGAAAAAAAGAAAAAAGAGTATAACGGAAAAAGAAAGTGGAAAACAATACTAAATACAGTATACAATTTAAGAAAATAAATAAATAAATAAATAAATAAATAAAGAGAGAGAGGGAGTAATATCCACGATCGGAAAATAAAAATAGGTACAAAAACTTGTGAAACTTTTCTTTACCTATGAAGTCTATGATTAGACGACCATCTGAAGCTCTTCCCGCCGGTAGACCGAAATATGTTACACCTGAAGGTGAGGCCGGCGGATAAAACGCCGCTGCTATTCCCCCTGTGTCTGAATTTGAATCGCCATAGTTGTATAATGCACTGTAATAACAAGCTTCTAAATTTGTCTTCTTATCATTATAATTGGCGTGTACACTTGTAGTAAATGTTAATGACAAAGAAGGGCATATAAGCAAAATCATTAACAGCTTATTCATGATCATCATGACGCTTAATTTCTTAGTTATTTGTTAAAATAGGAAGAGTATTTGCTTTGATTTTATTTATTTTTTTTGTTTACTGATATTGTTCATGTATGTTTGTTTGCATTGTTATATAGAGACCTCATATGCTTCTTAAAGCGCACAAGATACGGTTGGAAGTGACTGAATTTAAAAAATTGGAATCTGGTGGGATGTTTGGCCCTAAGGATAGTGGAATGAAAAGGGATAATGAAGTGAAATTCCCTACATTTCCTAATATTCCATAATTATTGCATGATTAGATCAAAGATTAAAAAAATTAGTCTTTGTACAAGATGGATCTATACATTTGTGTTTGGTAAATTTATGTATGTATATTTGGAGACTAGCAAAGTGCACATGTCACCCACGTGATACATAATTTATATTTTAATTAATGTGATTTTAAATTATATATTCTATTTTATTTTTTTAAGGTCTATTCAATTTTTTGGATTATTATTTTTGATTGATCAAACTAAAGAGGTACATTGTATAATGAACCATGTCAAATATATTTAAAGTTGAAAAACAAATCTGAAAATATCAATATTTGAAAGTCATGGTGAAAAAAAATTCATTAAAATTTTGGTTGATAAGCCTTCATTATTTAACTTCGTTTGTTTATTATTTTACTTTTTTAAGATTGAAAAATATGTTTAGTAAAACTAAATCGAAATCTTTTACATGAATATTGCATGTGATAGTTTGAATTTTGTCTTTTTATCTTGTTGAAGAAGGCAATTCTTTGTCATATTTTATTGGCTAATTAAACCAATTATAATTCAATTGGTATATGTTAGCTAAATTTTTAATATTATTCATATTATCTTTCATTTTCCAGTTACATAGTTTTCATATGCATTTTTTCACTTGATCTAATCAATTATAGTTATTTTTATGAGTTATAAACATATATTAAAATTCAAGTTTGGTTGAATTTTAGTTTTTTCTTTCATTCAAATATTATTTTATTTTTTATCAATCATTACAAACATATGGTATACAATCTCATTTAGATTTCAATTATCTTAAAAAATAATCTAAAACATCAAAAATATTTTTTTTGGTAAATTATATTTTGATTCTCACTTGAGAAATAAATTGATTTAAATTAAAAGTTTCATATCATGTATAATGAGCGATAGATTTGGTCTTCAGGTCATATTTGATTGCTAAAAAAATTGCAATTGAATAACTTGCGTAAAATGTGTTTCATTCAAAAACCTATTTTTCTCTCTAACCTAGCCTTCTCTCCGTTTCTCCTTTTCTGCCGCCGAGTCCGACTTTCTCAGTCGTGGTCGTCGCCTACCTCAGCGGGTAGACGGACCCCTAGCCAGTGATCGACCAGTGGTTGCACGACCCTAGCCCCGACTTTTCCCTCTTCTGGTACGTTTTGCGTTGGGGGATGCAGACGGGCGTTAGCGGATGGTTTTTTTCCAATTTCAAGTGTCGTTTTGGGATCTCATTCCGTCAGCTTCCTTGGTGGCGAGGTGGCGCTAGGTGGGGCCGGTGTGTCGTCGGGGGCTGGGAGTGGCCCGGGCCGCTTTCTATGTCGGCGTCGAAGTGGCGGGGCTGAGGAGTTATGTCTTTCTCATCACCCCCACTTTTCCTCGGTTTCTCCTGAGGTTGGGTTTCGGTGCGATCAGATTAGGCCAGTGGTGTTGGCCGAGTTCGAGCAGACAACGGTGGGGGTGGGTGATTTTGTTGCTCCTCCAGCTGCGTGGCGGGTCGTCTTCGTGGAGTGGTCCGGAGTTTGGGATTCGACTTCAGTTAGTCCCTTTTCGGCAATTTCTATAGCGGTTTCCATGAGCTGCGGTCTAGTCTGGTGGGGTCGGCCGTGAGTCCGTTGGTGCTTCGTGCGAGGTTTGGTCCACCTGCTATGTAAAGGGCTCAGTGTTTTTATTTTTTTATTTTTTATTTTTTTTGGTTAGGCGTGTTTGTTTTGTTTGTGTTAGGTGTTCTAAGTGTAGTGGTTTGTTGGCTTTTCGGCCTTTTGGGTTTGGGTTTGTGTTTTCTCCCAGTGGGAACTGTGTATTATCCCGTGTGAGACCATTGATTCTCCTTTGTTTTGGAGTTTGTAGTTAGTTTTAGTGTGTTGTGGGTGCGTTTTCTAGTATTGCTAGTGTAGGTTTTAGGCGATATCTGGATCTGTCCTCCCACTTTTATTCGGCTATTAGCTGTTCCTTTCAACTTGTAGCTGTTGTTTCTTTTTTACACTTTTGTGCGTCCTTATAAAAATGCCTGTCGTTTTGAATAAAAAAACTAACTTGTGTAGAATATCAACCAATTAATGTGTAGTGAACCGCATAAGATGCATGTATAAAATTAATGTCATGTTCTTCAATAAAAACAAAAAATACGCATAATTATTCAAAAATGGGTTATACATCCGAATTTGAAAATTTTTAACATATATTAAACAAAAAATAAGTAGAATTAGTTTTTGAGATTATCATAATCTTAACCTTTTTAATAACTAATTTCAAAATATCTTGGATTTAAGAGATAAATATATAATATTTGAAATTTAAAAATCTCTTAAAATGGAATCAAATCGACATTGTTATATTTCTCATTATCTAGAATAAAAACAATGAATATATCCCATAATATTGTTGGGGTTCTCAAATTCCAGCAATCGAAAATAAGGTATACATAGATAAAATTTTAAGAATATTCATTAAAATCTAACCTTCATTTTTATAATGTTGATTTAAAAAAAGGAGTATATAAAAAATAATGTCGGGATTGTGAAAATACAAACCACAAGAAGCAGTTAGACATGCAAATCCAATATATATAAATATATGTGTGTGTATATATTGTGTATATATTTGAAAAAAGAATATATCCAAAATTAAAATTGGAATTCTCAAATCTCAACAATCGGAAACGTAGATTTATGAAAAAATGAGTATATCCCAATATATTGTTAAATTAAAAAATCTCAACAAATTTATAATTGTTAAACATCCAAAATGGCTAGTTTTAACAAATCGGATTTAATAAAATAAGGACATAAAAATTGTTGGGAACCTCGAATTTCTAACATTAATTTTTTACCATTAGAAAAAAAATAAAAATCTAAGAGATACTGATATAATATTACTGGAAAAAAAATTATAACCACCAAAATCGGAAAAAAAAAACAAAAATCAAGTAGGTATTTGATTTCCACCAAAATCGGCAAAAAAATCAAATCGAGTAATTAGCTTATATTCATGTATATTAACATTTAACAATTACGAAAATAAGTGTAAATCTATGCACAAGAAGTTTCTCTGTAAATAAGCTCATATCTACGGTCAAATGAAATGCAATACTAATAAAAAAAAAAATCACACGTTCAAAATAAAGTTATGGATCAACCTTTTGGTCTAATCAAAGATCTTAAATAAAATACGAGGGTCATCTTGAAACTTCCAGCAGCATCTTTAATATGACGTTTAATTTCTTTTACCGAAGTTATTTGTAATAGTCTTCAACGATAGTGCGTTGGTATTCTTCAGTATGTAATTTAATAGTAGTTGCCAATATTTATTATATTATTTTATTTCTCGAAAAATTTATTTTCGTATTGCGATTTTTATAAGATGACCGCATAAATGAATTGATTTGTGGCGTTAACATTCCAAAGATGGGTGACAAGTTTGAGGAGAGTGGATCATATGTCATTTGCAATTACCAGTTAGAAAGTAATATAGTAAATACGATCTATCCTCGCAAAGTTCAAACTCATTATTCATGGGAAGACCAAAGCGTTGGAGTTTTCCTACCGATTTTTCAATATTTTATTTTGATTTCTGTAATTTTACTACCCTATAAGATGTTGGCAATGTAGCTTTTCGAAAACAAATGATTGTGTTTTCAATTTTATTTTTAAATATGTACATGTGGTGTTTTATTCCAACTAGTGTGTGGCTCGTGCGATGCACGAGAAAACAATATTATGATTGTATTATAAATTAAATATATAAATAACATTAATCATGATTTATTCATTGTTTTTAAATTAAACCGGGTTGGACACCGTCCGGCCGGATGGACCGAGAACCGGTTTTAACCAGTCTAGTTTGCTTGAATAAATATTTGCTCTCGAATCTGTCAACATCGGTCGGTTGGACTGGTAGGATAGATACGATTTTCTAAATAAATTTTGTTATATTTAAAACTATTTTAAATTAAATTACATATTTAAATAAAATAGAGATCTATAAATTATTTATCAATTAGTTTAAACATTTGAATTTATAAATTATTTAGATATCTAAGTAACATATTTTATTTAAATTTATTACAAAAAGTACTATATATATAAATATATTAAAATATTTTTAAATTAAAATCTGAACAAACCACAAATGGTTTAATAAAATAGCCTGATCGTTTCGATGACGGTCCAGTTCTGAAAACCTTATATTTACTGTACATTAATAAATATTATAATAAAATATTATTTAATTTACATAAATATTAATAAAATGATATTTAAATATTCATAAATCATTAAAGATGTTGTCATAAAAGTATTGTCAATACGATTATTTGAAGTTGGACTACATCACATTCACGTAATAAAATATTTTCAATATAAAATTTATATTTAGGTTCAATAATCGATTTGTTGTGGTCGAACAGATACATAACTTAGTCACCTGGGACCAACCAAGTTGTGTCAAGTTTTTTTACTATTTTAAATATCACCTAAAAGTAATTCAATCAATCTGGACAGTACCCTAATTCAATCACTCGATTCATCTGAAGATATTATTTTATTTTTTTTAAATATATTTAATTTTATGAAATAAAAATATTTGATGATTCATATAATAAATGTCTACACCAAATGATAGTATATTAAGATTATAAATTATATATCTAAAGATGACATAATTACTTTTACGTTATGCATATTAATAAAAAATAAACATAGTAATTTTCAAAAAATTAAGATTAATTGATTGATTATGCAAACTAAAGAATATTTTTAGCGTTCAATATTTTTCTAAAGGCACAAATATAAAGACCGAGATTCCAAAACTTTTGTTATATTTTGAATTGAGATTTTATAAATATAGAGACCGAGATTTTAATATTGTTCGTTGTTTCTAAGAAAAAAATAATAATAAAAACATACACACTTAATAAATCTTAGCTGGATTTTTTAAATAATAAATAAACTAAAGTCCGAAATTTAAGGTAGCATTCAATGTTGTATGATTTTTAAAGAAAAAAATAAAAAAATAATAAAACCTACTATTTATAGGCTGCATTAAATTCTGACTTATTTTTTTACTATTATTTTTGATAAATAGTAATTCTTATTATATATATATAGATTCTCTACTGCATGGGTTATGCGATAGTTGTTATGGAAATAAATAGGACTTCTTACCTAATTAACAAATTATATTTTTTCTTAAAGAAAATCTAATATGTTATAGAACTATCGAAATAAATAGCATTTCTTACCTAATTAACAAATTATATTTTTTCTTAAAGAAAATCTAATATGTTATAGCCCAACTTGCTAGTCATTTTTGCATATTGACATTGAGTGCGGGCAACCACTTATTAGAAATTAGAATACTAGTTTAGTTAGCATAATTATTCGAATGGCACGTCAACTTTCCCACTAAACCAGACGAATCCATTTCTCAAATCTCAATCATTAACTGCCCAAAAAGGCTAGCAAAAAAGCAAGGGACTTGAATCATTTTCATGTGCTGCTGATTCCCAGTACTTTTATTTAACAAAGCAATTTATTTTTATATTAATAAAACAAAAGAGATTACTTGCAAAAAGTCACCACCCTTTTTTTCCCTTTTTCTTTGCCGATTAACGTTCATTTTTCTCCAAACAGTTATAGATTCCGTTGCGGCTCATCAGTAATCGGAAAGAATGTTGCAGATGATCTAATTCCCATGGTAATAATCCAGGCTTCTCACTCTGCTCTCTCTGTTTGTATGATTTATTTTCGAATTGCGAGATGGGATCTTTAGAAATGCCGTTAAGTATCGAGAGGTTAGGTTTTAAATTTGATCTGGTAAGCTCCCATTAAGGATGAGGATGACTGGTTTTGACTGGAAATTCCATAATTTTCTCTTTCCTTTATAATTTTTCTTGCGCCTTTCGTTGGTCTTATCTGCTGTTTTGAATTTATGTAGTCTGTTTGATAAAGCCAGGAGTAAATGCAGATAGAAATAAATGTGTATTTATCTACAAGGAATGTTGTCGTGTGGGACTTTTCCAGGGCCTTTTTCAAGTCCGCGCACCGTTTAGCAGGCACTTTTTTTTTATATATTTATTTTTATTTCTGAGGCCTCATCCTTTCTTTGTTTATAGTTTGTTTAATTCGCGCTTCTTTTTAAAATTTTCTTGTGGTACTGTGTTTTCTTGTTTATTATCAAATGAGAAATTCAGGAATTCATATGTGCGGGGCTTGTTTCATGTTAATTTTTTTCCATATCTGCCTTGTAGCTTAGTGCAATTGGCATTTTAGGTTGGTTCTTCAAACAATTGATTCTTGCTAGCAATTTGGATTCCCTGTTCTGACTTGGAAAATTCAGTTGTTGCGAATTTTGGCAGGTTTTGAATATATTTGTTGATAAATTGATTTGATGGGAAACAAAAGCTCGAGCCCTAGGGATGGGGATAACTGGAGACAATCTTCAACCGACCGTTCAAGTTCGCCTGCAGGGTGGCAGCATGCGTATGGCCAATCTGTATTTTCACAGTACGCTCAGAATTATCCGGTGGAAAATCCTTATCCAGCGGGATATCCACCAGCAAACTATGAGCCTCCTCCGGATTACGAGACCTCAAGCGAGCCGTATATGCCCACTCAACAAAACGTGCCTCCGTTACGTCAAAAGAAGCTGGACAGGAGGTACTCAAGGATTGCCGACAACTATAATTCATTAGAGGAGGTACAAGTTTATCTGATGCCACTAACCAATCTCTGAATAATGTGATTTGGGACTGTGTATTATTATGCTGAAAAATGTAGTTCAGTGAGAAGAAAGTGGAGAGTACTGTTTGTTTTAGGTATGAGTAAAATATTGAACGAACTCAGACAAAATTTTGAACAGCCAATTAAGATGCTAGGCAGATTGCAAATAGTTTAAAGAGTGGCACAGGTCCTGGGAAAAATATGTCTTCTGGATGAGGCAAATGAAGCTCTCATGCTACGTTTATACAAATGCATGAAAAGCTTTTCGAGTGGATTCCTCATTTGGGTCAGGATTGATGTCACCCAATACTACTCATGTGATTGACTGTGTGTGGCTCTGAGCATGCCCAGAATTGATTCAATTCTAGCTTGGAGGATTGTTAATTATAGAGACTGTTCAGGAGAGCTTAGAGTAGTTTTGGCTATCCATGTAGTGTAAGAGTAATATAATATAGAGAAAATACTGATTTTTGATTTGATAATGGATCTGAAACTTGTTATAATTTATCTATCTGCTAGTAGGTGATTCAGTTAAGAAGATTTATTCGTGAAACATAGTAAATGCGATAATCTTTAATTGGAAATAAATGTTTTAAATGGACATAATGCTGCAAACCAGAAGCTAGAATCTAAGTTGGAATCGTAGTGACTGGTTTTAATATCTGGAATTTGGATGACCTGATGCACGAAGCTGTATTTTGCTTGTTATTGCTAAAAGACTATTCTATACTGTCTCATATTATGGTCAAAGACTTTTAAACCGATTTATAATTATTATATACATTGCACATTTAAATATAAGAACTATTTCTTGTTGATTAAGTTACTAAGCTAGTGTGACATTTAAATGTAAGAACTATTTTTGTAGGTAACTGAAGCTCTTGCACGTGCTGGTCTTGAGTCGTCCAACTTAATCATTGGGATTGATTTCACTAAGAGCAATGAGTGGACAGGTTGAGGTTCCTTTTCCTTCAAATTCTTTCTTGCATCTTCCTCTTTTTTTATTGGTGTGTGTGTGTGTGTGTGTGTTTGAGAAATTTTATTTGTACTTCCACAGATGCACAATCAAGACTTGTCTAGAAAAGTATTGACCTTGATTTTACATTTAGGAAAGAGATCGTTTGGTGGGCGAAGCTTACATCACATTGGAAGTGGTCTCAACCCATATGAACAAGCAATAACTATTATTGGGAAAACGTTGGTGGCGTTTGATGATGACAACTTGATTCCCTGTTTTGGATTTGGGGATGGTACTGAGGATAAACCTGCATTTTTATTTCCTGACGTTTATTATTGACTTACACCAAAACATTTGCTTAGTTTCTTTCTTTCTATCCACTTGACAGCATCAACGCATGATCAAGATGTATTCAGTTTCTACCCCGGTGAGAGATTTTGCAATGGATTCGAGGAAGTTTTAAGCCGATATAGAGAACTTGTTCCAAATTTGAAACTGGCCGGTTGATTCATCTTCAAACTAAATTTCTAGACATTATAAACGGAAACGAGTTTCTAAACTTAAATTGCTTTGTTACAGGTCCGACATCTTTTGCGCCAATAATTGAAATGGCAATGACTGTTGTTGAGCAGAGTGGGGGCCAGTACCATGTTTTGCTAATTATTGCGGATGGGCAGGTATATTCACTTGGATATGTGGCTAATGTTAATCACCTCTGTGCCCTTGATATGAGACACTGGAATCTTCCAAAGACTTATATCTGTCTATATTCAAAAATTGGCTTTTCCACGATTTTAGTTTTACTAGATGATTGCCCCTTGTGATGCACGATCAATTTTTTAAGTCAACTACTTTAATTTTTTGTCACATGCATGTTCTTGATGGTCCATACTGTAGTCAGTATTTTCTAAGAAATGTTCATCATGTGTCGACTCTGACACGAGAAATCGATTTAAACTAAAAAGAGCATAAATGTTTGATGCATTAAAATGAAATGATGAAGGTTGAAACATTATGTCTGTATATGTCAATTTTGTATATTTACAAAGACAACATTAGTTAACATTGATAAATGATCCTGTTTATATAGATTTTGTGCACATCATATTATGCTGACAAATTGGCATGAGATCATTCTTGTAAACATAGTTTCAAAATAATATTTTATATTTTACTCAAGAAGTTATTAATTTTATCCTAATCTTTATTTGTGTTGGTTATATCATCTCTTGAAATCTTGTTTAATTTTTTTAGGTTACCAGAAGTGTTGATACTGAACATGGTCAGTTGAGTCCTCAGGAGCAGAAAACAGTTCAAGCAATCGTTGATGCTAGGTAAATAGTTCAATAGATACTTACATTACAGTTTGTGTGCTTTAGAATAATTGACAAAAACTGTTAACTTTCACCACTACAAATTTCCATGTGACACTTGTTTCTATGTTACAAACTGCACTTATTCAGAGGCAACCAGTCTAACAAACAACAACCCTGGAGGGCCATCTTCTAGCTTTATGAGATAGTTTGACTCTTAGTAATTACACTAAACCTCATGGGTGATTGATGGATACTATGATTATATTTTCTCAAGTTTGGTGATCTTTATGCTGTTAATATGATTGCAGCAAGTTGCCCTTATCCATTGTTTTGGTTGGGGTTGGAGATGGCCCTTGGGATATGATGAAGGAATTTGATGACAACATCCCTGCACGCGACTTTGACAATTTCCAGGTCAAGTATTAATTCATTTTATATACCATTTCTTCAATTTACTTGCTGCGATTTGCATTCTTTACTGAAGTACTATTGGGGTTCTAGTTTGTCAATTTCACAGAGATCATGGCTAAAAATGTAAACCAAATTCGCAAAGAGACGGAATTTGCTCTTTCGGCATTAATGGAAATTCCAACTCAATATAAAGCCGCGCTGGAGCTAAATTTGCTGGGGTAATCCTTGCTTCACTTTCATTCTGTATGTGTGTGTCTGCTGGGGAGGCATGTGACACTATGCATGTGCGCATATTTGATTCAGGTTAATTGCAAAAACATCCTCTGAGCTTCTTACATTTTTTGTCATTATGTTATTGGCTTATTTAGTGGAAGGAAAGGAAATATTATTGAGAGGGTTGCTCTTCCTCCTCCCGTGTATGGTTCGACTTTTGGCAGCAATCCAAACCCTTCACGAGCAAATACCTTTCAGCACAGTTCAAGTTCATACTATGAGAGTAATTTTCCAGCTGATGCAGCTCCTTCTGCTCCAAGCTCAACTGCTCCAAGCTCAAATTATGAACATCAGGTATTTTGTGTGTATGCGCATAGTTATTGTATTCTTTTATATGTCGTATTTAGTTAGTTTGGTTAGTAGATATCTAATTGGAATTTTTTCAACAGATTTGCCCCATTTGTCTTAGCAATCCAAAGGATATGGCGTTTGGTTGTGGTCACCAGGTAATCTGTACGTTTGGTTCCTTTATTTAGGATAATTACAAATATTACCCATGAGTATGTGGTGTTCTTNAACAATTATCTAATTTAAAAAATTGCAAAGACCATAGTGGATTTTTTATTCTGCTTATGTGTTGCCCTATTATCCAATGGACTTCGCTGATATCACAATTACACCCATCGACTTCGTGAAATATTACAAGTACTTCAGAAAACCGATGGATGAAAATGCAAAATGAAAGAATTATGTTCAGGATAATTACTAATTCAAGTGGATGACTATAATTTTAAGATTATTTTGTCATAAATGATTTCTCTTCACCACAGTAATGGCAAGTGAAAAATGTAAAGTGGTTACAAATATCAGGAGCAATTATGTAATTTTTTTAAGTTAGCTGATTTTTCTTTTTCTTATGTCTGTATCTGTTTTTAATTTAGCCAAACCTGAAGGGTATTTCTTTTAGTGGTTCCCTACTTATGGTTGAGGCTATTGAAGAAAACCATTGTGTTTAAGATATAACTCATGTATCATTTTTTCTCAGACGTGTTGCGAGTGTGGACAAGAACTACAGTCATGTCCTATCTGCCGGAGTCCTATTCAGACCAGAATAAAGCTATACTAAGCCAGTCATCGATTTCTTGATATACTAACTCTGGGACCAAATTCATTATTTTGGTACTCAATGCAGAAAGATGGTAGCTTCGGTTCTTTTTATGGTCTGTGACACTGTTGTACAAATGAAATTGTAGTCCTTAGTTTGGTTGCTGTATATTGTTATCACCGCATAGATAATGGTTTATTGCCTTCAAAATTTCTCTATTGTAAGTTCGTACAGTTGAAAGTAAATTGGATGAAATAAGAAAACTTTGTCAAGTCATGTGGAAGGTGGGTTTATGTAGGCTGCTTCTGACAGAGGACATTAAAGTTTTGAGGAAGTAGTTACTTTTGGCTTTTGATAATTTGATTCACTTCATTTGCTATGAGTATGTGTTATTTGATTTGGTTGTTGTCTTGGTGAGCTTGTGGGGAGTCTGGATGGTTTAAAGCTTTAAATATCACAATATAAGGGTTTACAAATATTTCCCATTGGAGAAGAAATGTGGTAGAAAAATGGTAAAATGATGAATTTAAATGCTTGATAGTTATGTTAGCAGGTGAATGGTGAAAGTTAATAAAAAATGTGGTTCAAATATTGATTTTTATTTAGTTATATTGGATGCCATACCAGTGGAGAGGGTAGGTCTACACAATGCAACATGCAATAAATGCCCTCAATAAAAGTGCAACCCCAACACAACTACTTTGTCATCACATTATGGCAAAGAGCAGGCTGCATGTGTATGCAGAAGAAAAGCTATTAACATAACTGGAAATCTTCTCTCTTCACAATCAGAATCAGGCACCACACCATATAATTTCTCCATGGCAATAACCTCATATTCCAGTTTCTCTTATCAGAAACTGAAGCCAGAAATTTTGTTAGATGATGATGTAAGTAGAATTTGGGAGGAGGTGGTTGGAAGATCACTTATTAGGAGGTCGAGGTTCACAAGAGTACACATTAAGCGGAGATTTAGGGTGAAAATCCCAAGAATTAAGAGATTGTTGAGTAAAAAAGCAAGTTTTGTGAAGATTGCTTGGATTAAGGTGTGCAAAAGGTTGAAGGAAAGCCAGGCTCATTTTGGTGATCTTTTTGCTGGGAATTATATGTTTATGCAAGTTACTCCAGCTCCGTTGAATTAATTGGGCTGATAATACAAGAATGCTGGTTCTAATTTTGTCAAGGGTCAGAGCTTGCGTTGTTCTATGTATTCTAGGATTGCTTCACCTTATTTTCTAATGATTGATTTGTTGTTTCGCAATTTTTCTTGATTAACCTGCAAGTTGGTTGTATTTTTAAGCATTGATCCATACCAAGAAATTGTATTTTTCTTTTTTCCCCTATATAGTGAAATTACTATATATGCTGCTTAACGATCTGGGTTGTGGTTCTTTTTCCTTAAAGTTATGTGCATTTCATCTCGGAACCACAATTTTATTGAATTATGTGCATTTCATCTCCAGGCGTTACGATCCTAATTATGTTCATTTCCGTAGAACAGTTAAATGACTAGTTTATAGATCGTAATTATATATAAGAAATTGTGGTTCTTTTTTCTTGAAATTATGTGCATTTTGACCGCGCGTTGCGACGCGACAAATTTAAATTTATAATATTTTCTTCAACTAACCTTTACTAACTAGTAGTAGCGACAAGTAAGGGTCGATCCCACGAGGAGCAGGAATTAAATTGTGTGACTATTCTCGTATTAATTGAATTATAACTAATAAAGCAATAAAAGGAGGGAGGGGGAGGGGGAAGGGGGGTTGATCTGATCAAACGAAATATAATGAAATAAAACAAAAATCAAATAAATGAGAGAAATTCAGTTTTCGGTTCAATTATCACCCAATTTAAATCTATTAATTAATTTCAACGCCTTTTTCTAAATTGCTAATGAATTACCAACCCCAGCTAATAATAAGTTCTGTTAACCGAATTTTCCCTTACCGATTTGATCGAAGTAAGCTCTTCGACTAAACCTAACTAGTGGACAACCTAGAATAAGCTCTCTAGATTTAATTCACTAGCAGCATTACTTTCTAGGAAAATAATTAGTCTAAGCAATGGACGCAAAAGATCGGACCATTTAACTTATGCTCACGCTACCCTAGAGATGCACAACTCCTAGTTTACTACTAATGAAATGAGAACAATAACAATTACGGATTAAAGTCACGTCTCTAGCAATTAAACTATAAAAATGAGAACAATAACAATTACGGATTAAAGTCACGTCTCTAGCAATTAAACTATAAATATTTAACGTAGTTGACCAAACTAAATCAAATACCCATAATTAATAAACACGATAAACATATAACATGAATCAACTCATCGACAAGATAAATACGGCATCTCAACGATAAATATAAATCCTTCAATTCATAGACAAATCAAAGTTAGAATTCAAATATTCCTTCAATCTGGATAGAAATACTAGCCTAGCATACTAATAAAAATAAATAAAAGAGAGAAGAAAGAGAATGAAGATCTCTCTCGTGTACGAGTGCGGCTTCCCTCCGCGTGCGTGAATCTCCCAGCTGTCTCGTTTTACCGTGTCGGCCTCTTTTCTTCTTTTCTCGCCAATAATTCCTTCGCTTAATAAATCCTCTCCTCGCCTGCGTGAATGCTTTCGCAAATAATTCTCTTCATATGCTGGTGTGGAGTCCTCAATATATGTCTCTCGGCCTTTTGACTTTCTTTGCAAATAAATACAACCCAAGTCTCTAACTCATGTTCAATTTTCTCATTAATTGATTAATTATCATCTCAAATAATTCATCTTAGCAAAATAAATACCCCAGCCCCTGGTAACTAAGTAGCCTCGGATTTCAACTCAAACAATTGGGCTTTTAATCTTGGACTGAAACTGGGCCGGTATGGAGTGCTAGATATTTTCTCGCGTAAACTTCTGTACAATGCTTCGCGTCTACAAAATACTCTAAAATACAGAAAATAACACATAAAATATCAAAACAAATAAATCCATCAAAATAATAATAAGTCAAAAAATATAAACGTACGAATAAATTAAGTGTATAAGAATACTCTATTAAACATATAAAACATGCACATTTCATCTCCAAATGATCTGACTTGAGCAAGGATCAAGGTGCATATTCAGGAAAAAATATGACTGATCCTCTAGACGTGATTCTCGCGCATCGCTTGGCCTCTTGGTCCGGCTTGAAAATGAACCCAGATCCTTCAAAATGGCATTCAATCTTTCCATTACCATATCCATTCCAGGTTCCACGCAGTGAAGAAGCATGGCGCATTAGTTCATCAGTATACTCTCAAAGTTTTTTCTGTTATTTTGAGTTCCAATTTATAAAAAAACTCCAACATGTATCAAGTTAATTAAATTTTGTTGTTCTGAGTTAATTTGCTAAAGAATTTTAAGTCAGTAGATATCAAGTTGCAATAGGATAAAAATTTGTAAAAGAAAAAGAAAAAAAATCTTACTTCTTTTGGTCATATTGTTTTTTCAAAATTATATTATTTAGTAATGGAATATATGTATATGCATTTGTTTTATAATTGAAGCAATAAGAATAAATTGTTAAACTTAAAGAAACATAAATGATTTTTTTCCAATTTGTATGACTTCCTTAGAAATGTTAAACGGGCTAACCCTAGTGGTTTCGGGCTAACCGTAACGGGCTTCAGGCTAAACGGTCCGAGCCTAAAGAGCCAGGATTTAAACGGGCTACCAATAAAGGGACATAACTCTAACCCTAGCGGGCCTTGGGCTATGCGAGCTATAATTATAACTATAATAATAATAATAAAAAATAAAAATAATAATATAATAATAATAATAATATATCAAAAAATATATAAAAAACTAACAACGGCTCAACGACTATTTAGTATTTAACACTCTATATAAACAACTACACTTCATATATGAACACACATTACAAACTCTTAAATAACATATTTTTTCTCAAAGAAAAAAAAATATTTCAACTATTATTTACAATTACCATTTTACAACTTATTTTGTACGCTTTGGGAATTTTCACTATAAATTCTTTCACTATATTTCATGTGTTTCCTATTAGTCGTTCTGATTGGATTAAATATTTTGGTGTGGAGTACAATAAAATATTGTTAATAATTATCTTTCAAAATCATAATAATTCATTACAACTCATACTTACATGTGAAGTGAAATAGCAAAATTGTAATATACAAGGAATCTAAAAGCATATTACTTACTTGATGTAAATATTTATACCGCCCAACCCTAGTTAACGGGCCAACTCTAACGGGCTTCGGAGTAAACGGTCCGAACCTAAAAAACCCTGATTTAAATGGATTTTTTCTGGGCTAAATGGGCTGACCTGTCGACCACAAACCATTTAACCATCTCTAGACTTCCTAATAGTATAAAATTATTTTGACTACTATATGTAGTAAATATTATTCTCTTTTGTTTTTTTTTATAGTTATAGATTTGTTTGGACAGTTTATAAGTAAAAGGCGATTCTGAGAAAACGCTACTAGGTGGAGACGCACACGTTTAATGCAAAATTGGAAAGGGGACGGAATTTACATACATCACCCTCGTAGACTGCCACGTGGCAATCTTGTGAACCCTTCTCTCCCCTTGGAGAAGGGTTTATCTCTGACTTGTAATTAATCGAACCCTCAGTCTGCTCGCAAAGAACCATCCCGCGTGTGTACAATGAAGCTCCTCCGTCTGTTAACAGGTGCCTCCCGTTCAAATCCGCTTCCTATACTCCGCACTTTTTGTAAACCTTTTTTTTTTTTGTTTAATTTTCTTCGTGTACTCAGGAAATCACCGTGCCGTCGTTCGATCTCTTGGCCGCCGGAATTACAGTGCGCCGTCCGAGGAGTATCTGAAGAGAAATTATGCCAACAATGATGCTGAGTACAACACCGTCATTGGCTCTCTCACTTCTCAGCGAAGGTGCTCTTTTTTTTTTTTAATAAATAAATTATGCTGTGTTGCATTGCAGATGAGTGAGGAAATGAAACAAGGAATAATAAATTTGTGATTTTTACTGCCTTTCATTTGCTGAAGACAATGCATCTAAAGTAGTTTCTATACTGTGGAGACTGGAGTATCTGGAGGGGGAGGGGGGATAAAGATAAAAGAAGAAGACATGAATTCGATGAGGGAAAAGGGTTACACAGTCTTTGAAACATTTGAGGCTTATGTACTTTGAATTTCAATTAGTTTTAGAATTGGTTCTATTCTGTTTGTGACATGGAGAATTTTGTTTAGGTATTATCTATTGAGGGATGTGTATGATGACATGATGCTGGATGGAGTGCAGCCATTGAGGGACACATTTCACTCGCTTGTTGTGGGGACAATGAAAGGGTCTCGAATGCAAGACGCTTTTTTCTTCCGAGATGAAATGAAAACCATGGGTTTGGTACCTGATGTATGTTGTTTCCTACTCCGATTCGTCATTTATGTTGATAATGTGCACATGTTTGTTAACCCTTGCATGACATCATAACTTGTGCTTATCATAATGCGGATCTCTATTGTTCCTTGGTCATTGCTTTTTAACGTCTTTGACCATCCTTCTCTTGGAACAGTACTTATATCTGATATGAGTCCGCAGCTTTCAAAATGGTAACTTCACAAAACCAGCAATGCTCATCTCCAGGAACATGAAACGAGCCTCTTTATGAATATATATGTCAACTATCATCTGACAGTTGTTACACACAATAATGTAAACTACTTCTATTATTTCCTCAGGTTGCTTTATACAATTACTTGATATCCACCTGTGGGAAGTGCAGGCATTCTAGTCAGGCAATTCAGGTACTTACACACATTTGGGTTACCCTTTTGAAATAATTAGGTTGATAATGCGTGGATGATGCATATCTTATGAAAAAATTGTTTTGCATTTTGGACTGAAAGCTTCTGGATGAGATGAAGAAATGTGAAGTGAAACCCACTGGACAGACCTACATATGTTTGCTTCATGCATGTGCGGCAACGGGCAGATTAGATCGAGTGTAAGCTTATTTTTCAGCGTTTTGATGCTGTTTGTCTCCTTCCAACTGTTATGTTGAAAACTGGACATGAAAAACAAATTTTGTTTCAGTCAACTGTAACTGTGTGTGATCAATGAATAGGATCTACATGTAAACCAAGGAAAGAGCCTTACATACCCTTGATAATGCTCTTTATATTGTTATTTTTTCAGATATGCTATAGTTCGAGATATGACTGCTGCCGGTCTTGGTTTGAACAAATTCTGCTATGCTGGACTTATTATTGCTCACAAGAATAAAGCAACTTCCTCAGATGATACAACTTCAAAAGTAATTATCAAATTAACATAACTTTTAACATTGTATTTAGTTATTTACTAAAATTGGTGGTTGCTCGTCCTTTAGTACATTTGATATTTAGATAAAAATGTCCTGTATATTTCTTTTGACTGTTTTCTCTCTGGATAAGATTATTGAGCTTGTGGAGCAATCTAAAGGGTGGTCTGCAGTTGACCATACAAAAGTCAATGCCGAAAATGTTATGAAGGGAATTTCTGAAGAAGAATTGTACAATCTCCCGACAGCTGAATATATGCATCGTCGTGGTGGATTCATATTCAGACCGTTGACTGTATACCACACAGCATTTTGGGCTTGCGCTGACCTTAAAGATGTCCAGGTAACAAGCAGCTACATAATGATTTGACTGACATTATGCAGTTGTTTATTATAATATACACTTACATTTTCTATTCTTTTTGTTCTTGATATTTGTACAAGAATATTTTAACTTGGACCTGGGAAGCATAAATTGTCTCCAGTTCTATGTTGGATATGCTCTGTGAAGATAGGAATTTAGGATTATGAGCTGTCTAAGCTCTATAAAGCATTGATGCAGTGATTTTCTTTGTCGTTTTGTATGCAATAGTTATCACGAATCTTTAGTAGACCTTGATTTGCATTTCCTTCTCCCATGGATAGATTATGCCAATTGTTTATCTTTTGATTTCTGTGATTCTTATCACCTCTAGTTTACAATAAGTAAATGGTCTAGGCAAATTCCTTCCAATATTTTTATACCAATATAAAGTTAATATGGTGCTAACTTGTGGTTCTGATGGAATGGTAATTAGAGATAATTCATATCAAAATTTAATTTCACGAGTTAGTTTCATACTTCAAAAGGCATCATCATATTGTGCTCGTTTTAAGAAAGATCTATTTGTAACACGCGGTGTGCCTTTTTTGACCTATTTTCGGGCATCTGTTTTGACATTTCCTCCATCTTTTCTACCATATATCATTACAAGAAAAACTTATCCCAAATCTGGTTTTAGTCAAAACGTAGTCGACTAGGCTAGTGGTTGTTGAGCCGCATATGATAAATGAGTCATTAAGGGGGTGATTGAATATAAATAAAACTGGTTTTGATTGAATTTATTGGTTAAAGTGAGTTAATTTTGAATAACGTTTATTGAGTGGAGGGTTGAGTGGAATTTTGAATTTATGTTTAAATAATATTTAAAATATTATGATTAAAGTTGAGGTGATATAAAAGTAGGAGAAAGGTTATTGGAAATGATAGGTAGTTAAAATATGTGAGTGGACGAATAGTGAATTGAAGTTGATTCGATGTGTGAGGATAATTGTTTGGTATTATTTAATTATATTGATGATATTGAGGAGAGTTGGATTAAATTTGAGTTGGACTTTGAGCTATGTAGTGTAAAATAAATTATCCGGTTAGTCAAAACCGGTTTTTAACTTGTAGCAAGTGCATACAGAAAAATGTTTCTTGTACACAGTGGACCAAGCTTGCCAGAATTTATTCCTCCATAAAACTGCTGTCTTTACTCTTATTTAGAGATCATTTTATCTTGGTAGGCTACCGATAAACTTCTGGAGATGTTCGAGAAGGATGAAGAAACAAGAGACCGTGATGTTTATATTTTGATGCAAGTTATGAGGTATCTTCTTAGATCTATTACTTCTGATGTTTTGCCTGTCAATTTTGAAGTTTGTCATATTTGTGCTAGCCTTTTCTGCATTCTAGACTGTATGCATATACCTTTAAGACTGATGATCTGAATTAATCAATCAGTGGGCTCTTTTACGTTTTGTTGTACTCAGGAATTGGAATAAGAGTTTGTATGTTACTGTGACATTCATGGACCTCTTGTTTTCAAAATAAACTTATTAACAGTTCCCTGGCAATGTATTTGGCCACCCGCCGAAATTGACTTTTGTACCTGAGAATTAGGATGGTTAAAAAATATATGGACTCCAAGGAAGATAAATACTGGGCTTTAAGGATAGTAATTTGGAAGGCACATCCTAAGAAGTGAAGACTTCTGCAGCTTCAAACTTTCATCTTCTTGTTTAGAATCTAGTATAACATCTGCCTTTTTTTTATCAATTATTTATGAGAAATAAATTGATTGAGTTCTATTTGGGACAGAATTTCTTAGGAGAATATTCTGTTTTGTTATAATAGTTACAAATAAAGACAAATGTTAAATTATTCAGCTTCCGATTCTTTCACCTATTTCTTAGATATTATTGATTTTAAAAAGTGCACGACAGAATGGCATTCTATTTGTGAGAGAAGAAAGGTGGGGCAAACTGGTCGTTCTATAGTTATTGTATTTTACATGTCACTGTTATCCTTGAAAATCTTGATTTAAATGAAAAGATGTACATTTCTTCTAATACTGGATGCTGAGCATAAAATTGCTTTCACCTTTTCAATTCATCTGTCTAGATTGATATGCTCAATGCACACTCGTAATGCAGATGCTATCTTCATGCTGGGGATATTGACCGTGGGTTGAAAATTTTTGAAGATTACATGAGTTCGAACCGACCCCCTATGGTAGAACTATATGTGGTGAGTTCTTAAAGAAACATGCCTTTATTGCTTAGAACATTCCATTTCTTTGGACTTCATTAATCAATAACAATCGTAGATTTTCTAGCCATCACCAAAAGGAAGATAATACAAAGAAAAATGTTTTGTAAGTACATCCACATTCAACAGGTGGTGATGATTTGTACAACAATTTTCAACTTTACTTGCCACCATTAATTTTGAGCAGCATCCTTAAGAGACCAACTAGTATGTTGGTGCATTTTCAATTTTCTCCATGTCAGTGACTAATTTAGTTATTTATTTTCTCAGCATTGTTTATAGTTCAAATTCCAATTTTCTTAAACTGGTCAAATTTTATAAATAATTGCAATCTTTTTGCCTGCAGACACTTATTGAAGGAGCCATGGTTGGATATACACCCAGGGGTATGCAAATTGCTCAAGATACTCTGGTATGCTATGTGTTGTGGAGGTTCTTTTGAACCCTTTTCTCGTATCTTGTTCGTTTAATATTGGAGATAAGCAATTTAAGCTCTGTATTTTGTAAATTTTACTCGAATAATTTCAATCTTGAAACCAGGTCAATATGAATGCAAAGGGCTTGTTCTTGAGTTTTAAGATGGCAAATGATCTCCTACTTGTTGCTGCGGGTGAAGAGGTAGACTGAGAGATAGGATATAAAACACACACACACATGTATTCATGTTTTCTTGACTTTTATGTCAGGACATGCTATCTTCATTCATTGTCGATTTCTTAGACCAAGTATCTTTTTATGTTATACAGGATGGCGGATATTTTGTTGCCAACTTCTTATGGGATTTGATGCAAACTCGTAAGATGACCCCGTCACTCCCTGCTGTTCAGGCATATCACAATGGTTTGAGAGTGAGTCTTTAATCATCTCTCTTACACTGCTATAAATCAAGTGACATGTGCAATATCTCCTGAATACTAAGTGCATATATTTGTATAAATTTTTCATCGGTAGTTTCTGTAATTTCTCATTTTTTGTAGACTTATCTTTTGCTCTTATTTTTTACGAGTATGTACTGATATGGCTTCAAGTGTAATTTATTTGTAGGGGTGCGATATATTTCGTTCTTTGAAAACCCTTCCGTATTCAGAACTTAGAAGGCTACTTTCCTTTTATTTGGGCTTGTATCAAATTTCAATTTTATTTGTGTCTCAGGGAAGAGAGGTACCTGAGGATGATCCTCGGCTGCAGTTGGTTTCCTCAACTCTGAACAATCTTAAACTTAAAGTTGGGCCTGGAGCTGGAAGATAGATAAAGAATGATTTGTGTTTTCCTTTTTCTTTCGTTTTTCCAAGTTTTTGGGGCTTAAGCCTAAATTAGTCATGTTTATGCTACATTTACTGTTTCTTCAAGACATGATTGTCTGTACTTGAATAATTTAGCGATTTAAACCTTGATATTGGGTGGAGAAATCTTGGAATTGGTGTAGAGGTCTCTGCATGGATTTAAGATGCATTTTTTTTTTTTTCCTTCGAAACAATAGTAATGATATAAAACTAAAAAACCACGTAATTCAGCTAGAATAGCCAAATAGTCAAACAGTTGAATTCAAGAGGCCTATGTAGAGGTAGCTTAAAAGTAACTACATTAATGTATCCACATCGTAACAAACTAAACAACTTGCAACAAGAGAATAATACGCTCTCAACAGGAGAATAACACGCTCTCAAGCAGGAGAATAAAATGCTTTCAGGAGAAAAAGAACAACACAACAACTAAAACACAAACCCAGGAGAAAAAGAACAATACAACAACTAAAACACAAACCAAAAGATTGCACCCAAAAACGGCGGCCGACTCAGGCCCTTCCCTCACCACAGTGGTGGAAGAAGTCGGTGACCGCGAACTTAACGCACGGAAGTCAGACTGCACCCTCAAGATCTGCCATGGCCACTAGAAGTCAGAGACTCACCATGTAGAAAAGAGTGAGACTGACATAACGGGGAAATCGCCACCACCTTGGTGGAGAGGAGTGCTGCTACAGAGGGGTGCCGGCCGATCGGCGAAAGGGAGGCAAACCGAGAAGGAGACGAAGGGCTTTTTTTCTTCTGCTAGGGATTTTGACCGCTTTTCTTAGAGAGAGAGAGAGAGAGAGAGAGAGAGGTGGGACTTTTTTTGTGTCACAATTTAAGATGTATTTTCTATTTTTCTCTTAAACGTATAACTGTGAACTGATTGCTAATAAAATAAGTTTTCATCAATTCCTATTTTCAATTACAAATTTTAGTCACTCAAAAGGAAAAAAGCAATGGAGGGAATTGGAGTTGGATAAGGGTTTATGGAGAGACAAGTGGTGCATTGGGGGTGACTGGAATGCACTTAGAGGAAGCAGTGACAAGAGAGGAGGGAGGATCAGGCCTGAGAGGAGCTTTGATAGTTTTAATGCTTTTAGTGCTAATATGGGGATGATGGAGGTTCATATGGAAGGATACCCTTACACTTGGGTAATAATAGGTAGGGTGAAGGCTTTGTGGAGGAGAAATTAGACAGGATTTTAGGATCTTATGCATGGATTTCTTCTTACACAGGAGCAAAAGTTACTTCTCAATTTAGGAGTGCATTTGACCACTCTATGCTAATCCTAGATACTAGCAGCCAAGACTCAAAGTTCTTCAAGAGATTTGTTTTTGATAAAAGATGGCTAAAGAGGGATAGGTGTGCTGAGGAAGTTGAGAAAGCTTGGAGTGAGGAAGTGGCTGGGAACCCAATAGTGCAGGTTAGAGAGAAGGTCAAAAGAATAAGAATGACTATTATCAGATGGAATAAGGTGCTTAAATCTGAGAATGTCCAGAAAATCGAGCCTTGACCTTGAAATTAGAGGAGATGAGGAAGCTAGAGGGTCAAAGAAATTGGGAGGAGTAGGAGAAGATCAAGCAGGAGCTGGACCAATCACACCTTGAAGAGAAAATGTTTTGGAGTCAAAAAGCTAGATTACAATGGCTGCGGGAAGGGGACAAAACACTAAATTCTTTCATGCTATGACTCTCCAAAGGAGGAAGAGGAATGCCATAGATAGGTTGGTTGTGGCCCAGAATAGAGTGGTGGACTCTCAAGAGCAGATTGAGCTGGCTATCATTTTTGAATCAAAGGGTTCTTGGGGGCAGACTGAAGTCTTATCATTAATTCCCCAATCAATTACAGAGGCTATGAATGATGCTTTAATAGCCCCTGTGGAGGAAGAAGAAGTGAAGGCAGCCCTTTTCTCCATGAATCCAAACAAGGCTTCAGGTAATGATGGCATGACTCCTCTTTTTTACCAGAATTTTTGGCCTATTTTGAAGAAGGATATCTGTGCTGCAGTTGTGTACTTTTTTGAATCTGGAAGAATGATTACTAGCTGGAATCATACTGTGGTGACACTTATTCCCAAGGTTGATAATCCTATCTCTATAAATCACTTTAAACCAATTAGCCTTTGCTGTGTCTCATACAAAATAGTGGCAAAAATTTTGGCATCTAGAATGAGAGATTGTCTTAAATTCTACATTCATGAAACTCAGTATGCAGTTATACCTGACAGACAACTTCTTGATAATGTGGTGATTGCACATAAGGTGATACACTTTCTAAATTGACACAGATCTGGTAATAAGTGTTTTATGGCAGTAATGTTAGATATGATGAAGGCTTATGACAGGGTGGAGTGGAACTGTGTGGTGAAAACAATGCTTCAGATGGGTTTTCATAGAACTTTTGTTCAGTGGGTATTTGCTTGTGTTTTATATGCAGTGTATTCTTTTAATGTTAATGGGAAGGTATCTGGGTTTGTTACTCCTTCAAGGGGTATCAGACAAGGGGACCCACTGTCCCTATATCTTTTCATTTTAATTTCTGAGGTGTTTTCCCAGTTGATCGGAAATGCTGTGAGGGAAGGGGATATGCAGGGGCTGAAAATTTCTAGAGGTGGAACTACTTTATCCCATCTATTATTTGTTAATGACACATTAGTGTTTTGTGCTGCTGATGTACCAAATGCATTGAGTTTGTTGAGGATACTTGCAGTGTACCAAAGCTTTACAGGTCAAAGGGTGAATCTTGCCAAGTCAAATGTTTTCTTCAGTAGAAATGCAAGTGAGGTTGTTAAACATGCTGTCTATCAGACTCTAAATGGGATTGCAGTGTGTTCCTCAACAAGATATTTGGGCTTGCCAATGGGGTTGGGGAGGTCTAAGAAAGAGGTGTTTCAATTTGTTCTGGAGGCTGTTAAAAAAGAGAATTAATAGCTGGACTAACAAATTCCTCTCAAAAGCTGGGAAGGAGGTATTGATGACATCTATTATAAATGCTCTTCCAATATTTGTTATGTCCTGCTTTTGTTTGCCTGTCAGTATCTGTAAAGAAATTGCTAGGATGAGTGCAGAGTTTTGGTGGACTGGGGGTGCTGATCAGAATAGAGGTCTGTGCTAGGTGGAAATGGAAAAAAGTCACTCTGCCAAAAGACTCTGGTGGACTGGGGTTTAAGGATGTTAGGGTTTTTAATGACACTTTAATCCTAAAACAAATCTGGAGGCTGTTAACAAAGCCTAACACACCGATGACTAGAGTGCTTAGAGAAAAATATTTCCCTACAGGGTGTGTTTTGGAGGCCAAAAATCATAGCTTTGCATCTTGGCTATGGAACTCTTGGGTGAAAGTACTGAATTTGTACAGAGAAGGTATCAGAAGGGAGGTGAATGATGGTTTGAATACTAAAATCTTGTCTTATCTTTGGGTTGATGGGTTACCTTCTGGGAAGCCTACTCTTAGAGCAGAGGTGAATGAATTGCCACTGCAATGGGTGAAAGAGTTGTTGACAGATGATGGAAGAGCTGAGAACAGAGACATTATTCACAATCTGTTTACTGATGCATCTTGTAAAGCCATTCTGGACATAAAAGGATTGGATCCTGCTGAAAATGACAGGTGGGTTTGGAAAGCAGATGCAAAAGGTAAGTTCACTGTCTCTTCAGCTTACTCAGTTGCAGTGAAGAAGAAAATTCTGAGTCTTGATCTGCCTGGCTGTAGTTCAACTGCAAATGCTGATAAAAAGGCTAGAATGAGGTGTTGGAACTTAAGGGTGAAGGCAAGCTAAAACATTTTGTATGGAGATGCTTCACTGATAGTTTGCCGGTTAGTGTTAATCTGAGAATCAGAGGGATGCAAGTAGACCATGTTTGCCAATGTTGTGGTGTAAGTGTGGAAACTGTGGAGCACTTGATGTTCACTTGTCCCAGAGCAGCAAAGGTGTGGAGCTTAGTACTAGTATCTTGGGATAGCGCCATTGTACCTATCTCTAAGTTCAAATACTGGTGGTGGAGCATAGCAGAATTAAAAAAGACCCCTACTTCTGAAGCCCGAATTCAATTGTCGACGTACATACTTTGGTGGCTTTGGAAGTCGCGTAATTTATGGGTTTTTCGAAAGGTGTGGATGCCGGAGCCGGTTATTGCTCGGAATGCTGTGAATGAGTGGTCAGAATTCAGCCTTTGTAATGCTTAAACTCTGTTTTTCTTGTTTTGGTTGTAGGGGCTAGGTTCTTAAGTTTAGTGGCCCTTTGTTCTTGTGTTGTTTGGTGTTGGTCTGTTTGTATGTTTAGTCTAAAGGGCTCAAATCTCCACATTTGCCTTTAGACGCTTGTAGTCTATGTTTGTGTTGTTGTGTGTAGTCCACCGGCGGAGTGATTCTCCATGGGTCGTTTTGTTTTGTGTATGAGCTAGGGTGCTCTTCAGGTTGTAATCAAACTTTGTTTTATTGTTTATGAGATTTGGTTTATCGTTTGAAAAAAAAAAAAGGAAAAAAGCAATTGTCTTCACCAAATTCCTCTCCGCCCAATTTTTGAACAGTGAAACCTAGGTTTCGCAATTCCGTCGGCCTCCTCTCAGTGGGGCGCTCTGTGCCACCGTGGTGCCGCCCGTCACTGGGCCGTGTCCTTGGCCTCTGTCGCTTCGCAGTCCTCTCGGATGGGTAAAGGTTCGCCGTGTAATCGGTTGGCTTCGGGTGCTTAAGAGCAATTCCACAACAAGGGTGGGCGGCTGCTCCGATTATCGCCTTGCAGTGGTCGGAGTCGAGGTTAATTTTTTTTACCCTCTGTTTTCTCGTCTCGCTAGTGCTGGGTGGTGGGTTTGACTGGTGGGTGTGGGTTTTGGCTCCGGTCAGTGGTCGGCCTGTGGCTATCGATTAGTGTGAGAGTTGGAGTTTGTGGCTGGCCTCTGGTTCCTGGTTAGGGGTCGTCTACCTCGGAGAGGGGTCGGGTCTAGTTAGGCATATTAGTACTTTCGTTTCTGGACTTGTGCTTTGGACCATGTTTCTACCCATGTGGGTGGTTGCCCTCAGGGGCCAATTCGTAGTTTCTTTTTGTTGTTACTGTTTTTGTTATTTTGTAAGTGTGTGTTTGCGATTTGTATTCTCTTCTTTAGGAGTGTGTATTCTCTCATCTGAGAGAATGTATTCTCCACTAGTGAAAACTTTTTAATTTTTTGTGTGTTTGCTATGCCTTTTAGGCTATCTTGGATATGCTTCCTTTATTCGACTAGTTAGTCGATCGTAATTATTTATTTTTATTAATAAATTCAATCATTTAGGAAAAAAAAAGTCACATAAGTTAATTATTATTATTATTATTATTATTATTATTATTATTATTATTATTATTATTATTATTATTATTATTGTGTTCTATGGAAAATTCAATTTGGGTGTAAGCATTTCTTTTAACCAAGTCATCGACGAAGATTTTTTGTTGGTTGGTTAGCAATCCCACCTCTATTAACATAGGATAGGAAGTGAAACTGGATGGAAAAGTATAATCCTATTCCTTCTTGTACTTTGAATCGGAAAGAATATCAAAGGATACACATGTAAGTCTATGGATTTTCAAAAACTCAATTAGCATAAAAAAAAACTAGCCCTAAAATTAATAACTTTTTATATGTGTGTTCAACTGCTCATACAGGTTTCAAATATTTATATTAAAAGTTACTTATAAAGTTAAATATAAACAAAAAATTTTGCCATCAGGGGTTTAATATTAAAAAGATAAAATATCTTGTTAACTTTGAATGACATCTGTGAGTTTTAGCTAAAAAAATTAAAATATTCATAGCATATATTTTTTATAAATAAAAATGAATACAATAATTAGTAACTCATAAGCTATATAGTAAACAAAAATCATTAAATTTTTTTAAATAATTTGATCACATACATATTTTAAAAAAATATTATGTCATTGTATATTATAAAAATAAAATAAAAAATGAATAATTTATATTAAATAGTATGTTATCATATTATGTATATTTAATTTAATTGCATGAAAAAAAAATAAAATAAAAATGAATAATTTATATTAAATAGTATGGTATCATATTATGTATATTTAATTTAATTGCATTCATGCATTCAAAGAACCTTATTGTTTGATCTTGTTATACCGCATCCAAAATTTGTCTTCTTCAATAAAATCAGTGAAAAGTAATTTTATTTTTAATTATGATACACATTGTTTACAAATAAAACTTAATTAATTATTTGAAAAAATAAATAATTAAACATAGTTATATTAATTTACAAACTCATAAATTAAAAAAAAAAAAATACAAAACCTTCAACACCGGTCACCGCGACACCGTTGATACTTTTGGTTGGCTTTAGAGCATCTCCAATGCAACTTTTGACATTATAAAAAGTCATCCATATCACCAACTTTTGAAAGTGTGTCTCTATTTTTTTCTCCAACATCTTGTCATGAACTCTTTCATGATGAGGTGGATGTCATTTAATGTTGACAATGTTGAGCACACTTTTTAATATCTAACACCATGTTAAACATGATGACTCATCAATTTACTTTATATTTGTTTTTATTTTTTATTTTTTTTGTATCAAGGAATTATTTAATTGGTCCACCTATACAAATAACTTCTTATCAAATTGATGCATTGGAGATACTAGTTCCATTGAAATTTCTAGTCTTTTAACATTATTCCAATGTGGATTAACATTACAATTACTAATTGACATGTGTTAAAAATAATGGTCTTTCACACTTATAGCATTGGAGATGCTCTTAGAAGGGTGAAAATTGCACCGAACAAGTTTGTGGTTCTACAAGTAATTAATATTTGTCGAAAAAGTAAATGTAAAGCCCCTATAGCTCAGTGGTAGAGCGTCAGTCTTGTAAACTGAAGGTCTGTAGTTCGATCCTGCATGGGGGCATAATTTTCCCTCCCCTATATTTTTATCTGATTAAATTAAATGAAAATCGCAATTTTGGTAATTTTGTTCGAGGCGAAGCCAAAATCGTGTTCAATCTCACTCGCTATCAAATACGAACACTCATAATTCATTCATATCTCCAAACCCTAACCCCCTACATTCACTCCCATCATTTTCATCTTTTGATTCAAAGCTGAATTATTCTTTCGAATCAAAGCTGAACTAAATCAGGCTGCTCTCAATTTTTTTTTTCTTTTTTTATTTTTTTTTTTGCGACCCAACAATGGCGTCTCCAACTCTACGGAAGCTACTAAGAAACCAGTCCGCCTCTAAAATCTCAACATTTCTCCGGCAAACCCATCCACTCACCCAAATCCCCAAACCATACGACACTACGCCATTGTCGAATCCACCTGAAACAGATTATTTAAGATCGAATCTTTCTTTAGGCGCACCTGCTTACCCTAGCTTTCCGTTCGGGCTTTTTCTCGGCCCGGTTTCCCAGGGCCCATCAATCCGATCCCAGCCCGACAGCGAAATGGCTCCTGACGAGTCTAATATCATACGAGCTGATAGTGTGAAGAAGAAGAGAAAAAAGAAAATGAACAAGCACAAGCTGAGGAAGCTAAGAAGGCGTCTCATGAGGAAAACGTAGTTCAAATTATTTGGGATTTAGGTGAGATAATATGTTGTTAGTATTGTGATTTTTACTCTTATTTCTCTGGAATGGATTGTATTCCATTTTTTGCTCAAATTGTCTTTTGATCCACCAATGAAGGTGTCTTATGCCGTAGTGGTACTGATGTAGAACATCAGCAATTTCTGATTTGTTACAATTTATGATTATGGTTGTAGATAGTTCACATTCTTGAGCTGTAGATTTAGCCTTTAGGTGGTTGATTCGAAATATATTTTGTTTGTTATTTTTTAGTGCTATACCAACTTAGTGGAGATTGGTGTGAGGGTTTTGAGTTTTTTGCTGAGTTCACTGATATAAGTAATATTACAAGAAGATCTTAGCTTAGATGGATAAAGCCTGTGCTGAAATCTAGGATTAACAGTCAGTCATTGTCCAAAAGTTCTGAAGCAAATATAAGTAAAATGTAGATATGGTTTGTCACAATTCAGAGAATATGGGCTGAAGTGTTTGAACATGCCAAACACATCATGGTAAATGTTCTTGCTTTCAGCTTCCTTATCATTATTTTCTTCTTTCACTTGTTTTTGATAAATGTATATATATAAACTGATTAAGAATTAGTTTGCACAGTCCACATTGTGGTTTGGGGATTAGTAGTTTCTCAATGTATTGTTTCGTACTTACACAACTTGGTTTACATATCTTAGATGCTTAGTTTATGTGAATGCTGCATAGATGTTCGTATACTTTGAGCGGATATCTTAAATGCCCATTGAAGTTCAGAAGCAGTTTAGGAGTGACATAATTTTTGTTTTGATAATCAGAAAGAGTAAGCATCTAGCCCATGTATGTATATATTGGCTAAAGCTTTGTTCGGTGGTGATTGGAAATGATTTTTCTTTTTTATTGAATTTATTGGATAAAGTGAGTTAATTTTGAGAAAAGTTGCTTGAGTGGAGATATGAGTTTGTATTTAAATATTATTTAAAATGTAATTATTAAAGTTGATGTGATATAAAAGTATGAGAAATGTCATTGGAAATGATTTGTAGTTAAAATTATGTGAGTGGATGAATAATGAATTAAAGTTAATGTTATATGTGAAAATGATTGATTGACATAATTTAATTATATTGATAATATTAAGGAGAGTTGAGTTGGATTTTGAGTTAAAAAGTTGTAAAAAAATTATCCAGCTAGAAATAATCGTTTTTTTTTGCAATTTCTCCAATTTCTAGATCTTTGTTTTGGTTTTGGTTTTAGAAAGAACACCGCTATGGCGTTTGATTGCCCTTTCGTATTTTGAAGTCTATTTTGCTGTGACTTTGTATATATCTTAAGTTTTTCTGTGTTTCAGGAAAGAGAGGTGCCTGAGGATGATCCACGGAAGAAGTCATCGTCATTTAATCTACATTTTGTATTTTGAACAACTTATAGAACAAGTTACTTCTTTGCTTTATGTATGGTGGAGAAATCCTGGTTTTGGTGCATGCGGCTGTATCTGGGGCTGAATTTATGATGAAGTGCTAATAAATTGAAATCCATGTTCTTTCTCATATTGTTGTTCCTCTTACTACATTACATGTTGCCTTTTCATATTCTCTCACTGTGGAATTCACTACTTGCATTACGCATTACCGTGGTGTCATGTACCCGATATAGGGTCAATTGTCTTCATATTAGATTAGTATTTTAATTAGTTATTTTATATTAGTTTATATTATGATATGTAATGGACTTGGACTTCAATTTTTATATTAGTAGGCTAATATAGTTGGGCTTTTGTAAGGAAAAAAAGTGGAACAAGAAGAAATATCAACAATCTATTTCAATTTCTTTGTATTGCACTGGTGGATATAACCTTTGTATCCGCCTTAGGTGAATATGACCAAGCCTAAGATGTCGTAGATACGTTTCAGTCATTTTCGAAGGTTCCTTCCTCTTATTATGATTAGATGATGAATTAAGTAATTGTTTATGTTGCTTTGGGAAACTTTAGTTCTAGAACATAAAGACCGCATACTAATGAATCGTCGCAAATTATTTTCTTGCCAAATTTAATAACAACTTTGTTATCAAACGATGCAAAAAAATTCATGCGCTACAAGTTTAGAAACTAAAATCAAAGTCTTTATGAACCCGAGAACATAAAGGCAATTGTTCAAAACCAAAATTCTATCTAATCCAAAACATAGATGAACGTCTCCCATTGCAACTATAAACGCCTTAGTAGCGTTGCCCATATAGACAGTGATTCTCCTTATGTTAGTCGCCTAGTTTCTTAGAAACCTTACAACAAGTTGCAGACATGATCAGTGACACCCATATCCACACAACAGATACTGGTGGATATCACCGCTAAATATGTTTTCACGACTAGTGAAAGAGACTTATCACTTTCATCCTTATTGAGGAAAGAGCAGTTGGTCTTTCAGTGTCCTTGCTGCATGTAATGGTCGCACTTGCCTTTCGGCTCGTGCACTTCTTTTTTCAGTCCGATAATTTGGGATAAGTACTTTTGTTCTCTTTAAGAATTACAGTCAACGAATTGAAAAATATTTTGACAACCTGAGATCACGAAAACAAATTTTATTTAATCAATTTTCGAATTTAATTCTCAAATATTGATCCCTTAACAACAAAATTTGTTAAATTCACCGATACCTCACTACACCGAATCCCTGCAGGACACGGTGGCGTGGACGTCTATGGTTAGTACCATCGAGGAGGAAATTTTATTCCACTAATTATCCCTGTCGACTTTAGACCTTCTCAACAAATAATTAATAGTCGGTACACTTTTGGCCCGTACTAAATAAAAATGGCTACTCCGGTGCTGGAGACCATAATTAAATATATCTAAGTGTAACATATTAGTTGGTACCAAGTCCATTATCAAAACTGTACGTCCGCCGGTGGACGTCCCGTACACTTTTGAAATAGTTTTCTATTACCATCCCAAAGGAGATTTGTCTTTGTGAACTGTGATTAAAATTTGTCCAGTAGTGGAGGAAGGTCCTAATGCCAACGCGCAAACATTAATCACTTCACTGACAAACCTATAATGGAGATCGTAGAATTTTAAATTTATTTAATTCAATTCACCACTTAGTATAATTTTTTAATTAGGAATTTTATTAGACATGCTCATATTATTTTACGTTGCACACAAGGCAATAAAACAATTAAGCACATGCATAATTATAGAAAATTAAGAAAATAAATCAAACTATCATGACCAATAATTATGAATCCAATTTCAATTGGAATTAAGCAATCTCTGTCCTCATAGAACTGCAAGTTTCCTTTTGGAATTGAAACTTTCCTTTCGCCGTGACTCCCACTCTTCCTTCTCGAACAAGCAACCCTTTCTTGGTCCCCGTTCTTACTGGAATCTCATCTTCGGAAGAAGGCTCATGTCGCCAAAAGCTAATTGCCATTGACAAGCAGCGGTTGCCACCTTGACACAGCCATGTCGCACACGGTGCCCCAACAACGCAGAAACGATATTAAACTCGCGGCCGTGCTCGTTGCTGGTCGCCTACTTCAACCTTAGTTGTGTTGCAGTTTCGCGTTCAAGTGGTGCATGCTTGCCGGTGTCGCATCCTCCAGGCGACGCCACATCGGTCAAGTGATCACGTGTACGAGCTACTGTGATCAATCACACGCTAGCGGGTGCACCAGCCTGCCTAGCACCGCACGCCAGCGCGCCAAGTCAATCCAGCATCGCCCGCTTGCTGTCACCTGGCACAGCGGCTCATTACCTACGCGACCCCGAGCATCGCGTGCGCTTGGCAGCAAGCTTCCCGTGCGCACGCCAGCTCACACATGACGCCGCTCGTCCTGTTGACCATGAGTTTCGGGATGGCTCCGCCTCATAGAATTTTTGCCGGTCGTCATCGTCTTGATCGTCTAGGCTCGTCCGCCTCCAACAGGGCTAATCGAAATATTTAAAATATAACAATTACATAATTCGACCTATGATCCACGCAGGATCGTACGTGATTGTTCTAAGAAAGCAGTAAACAATTAGGTGTCCCATCGTGCGAATAAATTATTACAACCATTCACAACCCAAAATTCCCAGACATGTCAGAGTCTTTAAAGAAAAGAACATACATGATTTAAAAGGCATACATTTGGGCCACGATAGTCGGATTCAAGAATACTTGATTTTGCAATTCTAATCTACTATGCGTTGCGCCCGTACACAATTAATTTCACATATTTCACGCAAGTTCTAATTCGAATAGTGTACAAAGATGAATTAATCTTGGACTCTGATACAAGTTGTTGGGTTCTATGAGGAACATCATCGATATACACCTTTGAATATAACGAATTGAATCCTAACGCAGCAGAATCTATAGTTAGGATTGGGACTTATGGTTTTAAAATTTTTTGACTCTGAGACGTTCTTGATTTTCGCTGTTAGAGATCATCTGAGCCTCAGAGTCCGTTGGACTGTCGGACTAGGCCTCCCCATCACGTCTCTAGTCGCTCGTCGGGCCCATCGGACCATCTCGGACCTCCGGTGTCTTAGTCGGATTGCTCCAAACTCGTCTTGGGCTCGCCGGGGCTACTGGACTATTGCTGGACTGGTCTGGACCGCTGTTGGGTCGGGCTGGACTTGAACTGGATGCTGGTCAAGTGGTTGAACCAGACTGGATCCCTGCTGGCCGGGTTGACCTGGGTTTGGTGCTGGGAAGCCGCAGACTGCATGCTAGGAGAGACCTAGGTTGCTGGGGAATCGGGCATGGGCACTGGGATGCGGAGACAGTACGTTGGTTGCGCGAGAAGCTCGCAGATCCTTCTGTAGGTCGCGCTGGGGCGCTGCGGGTCGCCATACGGAAACGTGGGTCGCGCTAGAATGCCGAGACATGGTGCACGAGGGTTGCAGGTCGTGCGAGAACATTGTGGGTCGCGCTAGGGACGCGTGCGGGTCACACGGGAATGCGCTCGGCTGAGCGCGACTGGACGCGGCCAGGAGCGGCTAAACGCGACTAGGCTGCGGCTGGGCACGACTGAGGCGCGACTTAGCCTGCCTAGTGTGGACGATGATCTCCAGCCTACGATAGTCATAGTCTTCGATTTTTGTGAAGAACAGACAACCTCGTGAATAAAAGAAATTTTACAGGGTTGCGAATATATATATGAAGAGATATGAATAAAAGACCAAATGATCTTTTATGTATTACCCAAATACCTTTCGAACGATCTTGTTGAGCGATCGAACGAATCTCTCAAATCTCACACTCTCAAGAACTTGAAGTGCCGATCGGATACCTCATGGAAGAGAAGGAACTGATCGTGTATCTCTCTTTTTCTTATGTTTAGAGGTTTGAGACTTGGTGTATTTATAGGGCTACACTAGAGACCCTAGAGAGGTGTTAAATATGAGCTTCCCAAGCATGAGCCCAACTGTGGGCCAAGCCCACTCCGCTTAATGCTTGATTGATAAATCATTCCAGTAGAAAAATATTATTGCACTCCCAATTTAACTCTGAATTATAATCAATTCATTTCCCTATTTATTGCTCGATTTATATTCTCGTATTTAAGATATAACATCCATTGATTAATTTAATTACTGACATTTTAATTAATCAACTTTTATGTCCGAATCTAGTACCACTCAATACTTTATCATTATGCCGGAACTCAATCTGCCTGCGGGGCTAGACATAACGATAATTCTTGAGCTCCCTTCGGGGACGTTATCAACCCGGACTTTCCTGGAACATGGTAACTATAAATAATATTGGCGACACATCATGCAGCCGACTCATCAACCCGGACTTTCCTTGAACCATGATTGTATAGAAATATAAATTTTTTCTGTATTTTTATAATGAACTTAATAAAATCAGAAAAAAAAAATTAAATAAGAAAAATTCTACATATCAAGTTCTTAAAAACTTTATATAAAAATTGTCGATAGACCCAGCTGGGCTCCATGTAATTTCATCCATGGATACATGTATAGTAGTGAAATTATTGTGGAGTGGAAAAGGATTATATTTTTGTGGATGTATTCTGAATTTTTAAATTAGGTTCTTCTGAGGGAGTGTAATGCCACTTTTTACTTTCTTTTAATTAATCCTTGTGGTTTGGTTTGGTTTGGTTGGGCTTGTCTGTCTTTGTAGGGTTAGTTCTCTCATTTTTTGTGCCTATTGAGTTCATAGTGTGTGATCTCAAAGTTGACTGCAGTCATTTGATTATCTTGTACTATTTATTTGAGTCTTATATAAGTTTTCTTTGTCGTTTTAGACCAAAAATAAAAAAAATAAAAAAAATTAAAGCATGATATGGCCAGTCATCTTGGAAAGGTCTTGTAAAACAATTAACCACAAAGTGTCGCTTTCTTGGAAAGGTCTTGTAAAACAATTATCATTCGTCCTCATTTGGTTCATGTGATGAGATTGGATTAAATAAACATGTTGTGGCTGGATTGTATTGTGTCGTCGATTGAATTAATCTCGCATCTGTTAGTTGTTATTCATGATGGGTAGTTCAAATAGAATGCATGGTTTAAGTTCTCGTAACAAATGTTTCTTTTGAATTATCATGAGATACAAAATAGGATATCGTTTTTTCCCTTGTGTTACAAATTCTGAATTTTCATAATGATAAGAATTTGATTATTAAGTACGATACTATAAAATAATAATAATAATAATATATAAAAAGAACGAAAAGGACAGAAAAAACCAAACAATTACAATCATTTTTTTTTGCTTACTATTATATATATATATAGATTTAATTAAGGAGTTAAACCAGAAATTCTATGGTGTATGGGCACCATAAGCCATGCCACAATATGATGTGGCAACATGATGTGGCTTTATTTACTAAATTTATTTAATCCAACATGGCATAAAATATGTGGCTTTTTTAAAGATTTTCCATAACAAAATTAATTAATAAACTCTTTTTCCCGATAATCATTTCATAAGTCGCCGTTTCCCCAAATTCACCTGCAATCTCACTACCTCAATCATCGACCTCACGACCTAAGTCGCCGACGCCACCGGTATGGCCAAAATCGGGCCGCCTGCCGAGCTTTCTGCAGTGAATTTCCGGCAAATTGGTGGCCGCAGCTGCGATCTGGGACAGGAGGAGGGAGCTCGGGATGGACGACAATAGATGGTTTTCCGCGGGAGTTCGAGCAATTGGGGCTTGGTTGCCGGTGAAGCTTCTCGATTCGTTGGTCTGGAGGTGGAGGGTGATGAGGCGGGTGAGATCGGCGAGCGGCGGCGGGATGGGGCCGCGGAGGTTGTTGGTGGATAGGTCGAGGCGGTGAAAGGCGGAGATTTTCGACGAGATCTGGACGGAAAAGGCATTGCCGGAGAGGTAGACGAGCTTGAGGTGCAGCGGGCGAGGGGGGAGAGGGTGTCATTGACGTGGTTGTCACGGAGGTCAAGGTGGTGGAGCTGGTCGAGGGATGCGAAGGCGTCAATGGGGCAGCGGAGGTTGTGGAAGGGGTGGACGACGGCAGTGACGTGTCGTTGGTGAAACGTTTGAACATTCTAGCCGCGTAGTCAGCGGCCATCCATGTCGTGCCCCACGAGCATCGACACACGCAGGGCTGATTTCAATATACAAACAGGGACATGGATGTCGTGCCCCCATGTCAGCGGACTGACGGAGCTGCTCAAGGCTTGGAGTCCTGCGGCCATCCAATCGGCACTCGACCACTGCCTACACAACAGACGGGAGAGGCCACCCCATAATAGACGTATCCACGGGCAAAAAGTCCACACCATTCGATCCTGGAGCAGGGCACATTAACTCCATAGCCTGGTCTACAACAGTAACATCAGAAGAAAGAAGTTGAGATGTGGGTGTTTCGTTTGTAAACTTTCTTATATTCGCACATGATTAGCTATATGAATTGCAACGGTATTTTTTCGTGCAATGGGATGAAGTTGAGATGTGGGTGTTTTGTTTGTACACTTTCTTATACTCGTAGAGGATTAATTATATGAATTGCAACAGTATTTTCTTGTGCAATGGGATGAAGTTGAGATGTGGGTGTTTCACGGCTTGAAATGGAATCGTTTTTTAGACCACTGTCGATTTCTGATGGCTTGAAAACTTCATTGTTCATTTTAGACAAATATTTATGCACAGTATTTGTCATATTTTTTCTTTATGGCTTAACATGGAATTAGTTCAAAAACATTAGGTTACTTCTTTTGTTCTTTCGTGTAAGGAATTAGTTTACATCTTCATATACTTTTTGGAGGAACTTACTGTCAAAATATCAAATGACATATAAATTCTAGTGACTGAGTAATAAAAGTGCACAAATTTGAATTGCAAACATCTGCTCAATATATTTTACATATCTTACTGTCAAAAGATCAAATGACAGATAAATTCTTGTGACTGAGTAATAAAAGTGTACACAAATTTGAATTGCAAACATCTGCTCAATATATTTTACATATCAACAATGCTATTTGAGGTACAAAATACCAATAGAGCCAAAGAAAATATGCATCCAGCAACAAAATATTCTGTCTGGCCAGATCCCCACAAAATGCCAAACAATACCAGTAACAAAAACAATGAACAGAACACTAATAAAGCAATGAACAAAATACCAGCAAGTACTTCTCTGTGTTAACTTTCAAGGAAAAAAAGTTATCCAAACAATACCAAAACTCCATTAAAGCCACTTTCAAAACTATTAGTCAAAACTAACATAAGAAAGCCACTTTCAAAAAAAAAAAATAAAAAATAAAAAAATATCAAACTACATCTAGAAAAAAACTCCGTTAAGGCCAAATACTCGTGTAATCATATCCCTCATCCACAGTGTCGACCATATCCCGACCCGCCATTTCTTGACTGTCCTCGACTATGATATTATTCGATAAAGGTGACGGACGATATGGTTCAACTTCATCAGCAATTCTACAAGATTTATAAAATGTGATGAGAGAATAAAAATAATAATTAAAGGTTAAAAACGATGAATGTTTGGCTGAATAAATCAAGCTCCTCAGATACACTTCTCTTCTTATAAAACTAATTTCATAATTTTTTAATTTCCAGCATTTTGCATTAATGCTATACGATACGAATTATTTTCAGTTGTTTCTTCTCAGTATCAACATTCATCATTTATTATAATAAATAATTATCTGGAACGAAATCAATAGAGAAGAGAAAAAAAAATTGAAAAATTGAAAAATAAGCAAAAGTAATATAAATACTAGAAAAAAAAAAGTTACACAACTGAATGATGCTTGAGCAATCAGTCACACGATGAGAACATTTAAGTTACCTGTCTTTGCCTTTAATTTCAGGACATGTACGTGCGTTATGACCAACTTTGCCACAATTGCGACAATGCTTGCCTCCACTTTTAATTGCCTTATCTCGCATACTTAATAGTCGTTTGCGGTCACGAGCTACACGATTAGTAGTTGGATCACTTACAAAACCCTCACCTTTGTGCTCTTTTCCAGAGCATGACTCTTGTGTATCATTGGGGGTCACAACTTCATTCTCTTGTATTTTTGATTCCGCTTCTTCAAACATTTTGTGTAAGATTATAGTAGATTTTTCGGTCAAAGCAGCCTTTTCGATCAACCATTTCCACTTCTCAGATAACCCTCGGCTACGCTCTATATATCCTCGTGCTTGGATGATAGGACAAGCGACCGTTTGAAATGAAATTGGTGATCCTACCTCTTGTGTCCAACGAGACAAGATATATTCTTCTGGCAACAACTTGATTTGCATAACCTATATAAAAAACAACATTAAATAAAATGAGATGTATATATAATTATGTTGTAAATCATTACATACCATAAATTAACAAAAGGAATTACCTGCATCATATATAGCATGTGCCTGCATGGAATCCCCATATCATTAAATTTCTGGCAACTACATGAAAGAAAGTTCGTGGAAACATTTTGTGTCACCCGATAAGTTTTATCCTTCAACTCCGATCCACTAAATGGGAACACTTCATGGACACAAACTACCTCATTTTCTTCAACGAGTTTACTGATGTACTCTGGTAAAACCTTCAATTGTTCTTGAAACTTTTTAAATATTGTCCTCGTGTACCTTGTCGACAATTGCCGCTCCATTGGTTGTGTAGAATTCAATGACGGATTCTCATTTTTGTCGGCTTGGTCTAGTAATAACGTTTTATGCCTTTGCCTCGAAATTGCATTCCTAAACCGCGTAAACACATCATTGAGGGAGCAGTCACGGCTCAAATATTTCTTAAAAAAAGAGTGATTGCTTTCAGCACGTTGTGAGGATGACATTCCTGCTGAGAAAATATTTTTCAAATATGCAGGGATCCACATTGCTCGAATAGTGTACATATCATTCACCCATTTATTTTGACTCAAAGATGTAGTACTCATCAACTTTGACCAACAGGACTCAAACTCCTCTGGATCATCCGAGTCCATGATAGCGTGCACCAATTTGGTTTTGTCATCTCCATGCATGGCGATAGTTATTTTTTCTGGAAACTTGGAAAGTATGTGCCACAAGCAAAGTCTATGCACAGTGTCTGGAAATACCTCATGAACTGCCGCCGCAATAGCCGCATCTTGGTCAGTTATAAACATCCCCGGTTGACGTTTTTCAGGCATCGAATTGAGAAACTGAGAAAATAACCAAGAAAATGATTCGGTTCGTTGGTTACTCAAAAGACCACAGCCAAAAACTATAGTCTGGTTATGATTATTCACTCCAACAAAGGGGCAAAAAAACATTCCATATTTGTTGGTGCCAAATGTCGAGTCAAATACCACCACCTCTGGAAAACAACCATAAGAGTTTCTTGCATGCGCATCACGCCAGTAACAACGATCAAATGTATCACCAGACTCATGAGTTTCATAAGCAAAATAGAAAGACTCACACGTTGTCTTCTCCGTCTCAAAGTGGCCAATTAACGTTTCAGCATCATGTCCAGTGACCACATTTTGTAATTTTGAAGCATTGTTGTACAAGTCTTTTTCTAGACAACCTATTTTATCAGGGGCCCCAGCATCACTTTCTAGTACCCTTCGAAGATCAGATGTTCTCAAATTGGCATTTCTAAACTCGACAGCAAGGGACCTTATTGCAGGTGAGACATCCCTATGAACTCTTAAAGCGTGCACCTTGCTCGGACTGGTAAGAGGATGATTGTGTTTCTCATTAAATTTCAAAACTCTCTAAAGTTGTTCATCTTTTTTCCAGCTTACAGTCATCCTAGCCAAACACTGGCATCTGACATCTCCTCTTTCCAGTTCTCCAGTTCGTTGAACAACATGCTTAATTTTGTCTTGGTATCTCATATTCTTCGTCCCTTCTTTATAACAGACGAACATTTTCCATATGACTTCTTGATTGTGGTTTTTCCTGTCATTTCTTTCTCTAACGCTAAAACCAGCTTCTTTGGAATAAGCAATATAAAAGTCTTTAGCTTCATCCAATGTCTGAAAACTCTGTTTTTCATGAGGAATTGATGCAAATGCAACCTGTGGAATATAATCACTATCGGCTTCACAGCCATCTGAGATTAAATATGAAAAATCCAGTCATATAAATTGTTCTGAGTTATTAAATTGATCAATATATAATTGTGACTTACCAGCTAAACTTGTGTTAAGTTGTTCATCAAATGACCGACCAGAATCCTCATCGTTTTCATCTCCAGATATGGAGTGCGCCACAAACTTTTGCATCGACATTAGGTAAGCTGTGTGAAAAAAAAGATAATAATAATATAGAACTATGATAAATCAAAGTAAATTCATTTTTATTCTTACAAGATCTTTTATAAAAAAATCAAAAAGTTATTAATACACTAATTAGCCAAAAAATCAAGTCGCACCAATACACATTATTAGTAAACTATGTCGAGCTAAAAAAGTTGGTTAACACCTATGTAGCTGGTTTTCCTTTCACTTTTTAATTTCCGTTTTCATGTTTTTACATTGTAACATATCTGATACAGGAAGATGACATAAAGAGACCCTTATTTCAGGAGGCCTGGGTAGTGCTGAAAGCCAAAATTATGAAACTTCATTAAGTAACTCCATTGGGCAGTATGGTAATCCAATTCAGGGGGTAGGATAAACACATTCTACAGCATTAGCACATAAACACAGCTAGTCGACACCACTAGAATTGACTCACAGTAATAGATGCTAACTTTTGTTACTTTTGTTGTCTTTTCTTACTTTAATATGTCCGAGTATGGGAGATAACACAAATGAAAAGGAAAACATCGTACTGTCCCCAAGCTAACCATCACAGATTAGCCCCTGCATGTTTAAGACTTTTAGCAAAATCTTACATAGCAACCACAAACAAGCTTATCAATTTTTATAAAGCATACAGTAATTCTTGAATGAATCGGCATATCAATTGATGATGATCACAAGATATAAAACAGGCTTATCAGTTTTTATCGTATTGAATGTATGCTGATATGTGGGCATCTTTGATCAAATAATCAGCCCTTTTAGAAAGAAGGAAGCTATGGCAATACCTTTCCCTGTTGGTCGAGTTTGGCGGAGTAGATCGTCGGCAAGTGGAGTTGGTGGAGACTGCCGCCGGTTGTTTGTGGAGTAGGCGCGGATCGTGAAGCTCAAACGAAGCCGCGAAAGCAGAGGTTTTCTTCGCGGGACAGAGGTTGGCGAAAGCAGAGGTTTTCTTCGCGCGGCAAAGGTTTTCTTTTTCTTCGTGGAGCAGAAGTTTTTTTCGCGGGGCGTAAGATTTCTATGCGAGATTTTTTATTTATTTCTTTCACCATAGTTGTTTTATTTTTATGGAAACATATTTTATGCCATGTTGGATTAAATAAATTTAGTAAATAAAGCCACATCATGTTGCCACATCATATTGTGGCATGGCTTATGGTGCCCATATGGGCACCATAGAATTTCTGGGAGTTAAACGATGTCTTTTTAAAATTTGACTAATTAACTAAAACTAGTACGAATCCGGTGCTATGCACGGTAGGAGATGTTATTAGGGAGATTAGATACCATATAGTAACACCTTTCTAGTTCTTATATAAATAGTAACACCTTTCTAGTTCTTATATAAATAATTAAATATTTGTTTATTTTGGTTCTATTTTCTTTAACTAATACGAATCATGTGCTATGCAGGGGTAGGAGATATTTATTAATATATATAAATTAAAAATATACATTAAATAATATTTATAACTTAAAAATATGGAATCAATTGTAATATAATTCACCTATATTAAATTTATTGAAAATGTTATATGAAATTTAAATTGTGCAAAATTATAAAAAACATGTCTATTTAAATTTAGTACACAACCCGTACGGTTAACGTAAGTGATAATAAATTACAATATAATTTCAAAATAAGTGTCATTTTAAAATTTTCATTCAGAAATTCAATTTAACTACAATGTAATTCCATAAAATAATAATTTTGATAAAATGTTATGAATATTTAAAAATCTATGTGAATAATAAGTACAGTTATAAAACTATACTATTTCATTAACTAAATTGAATTTATTTTTGTATAAACTATCTAAATAAAAAAAATTAAGTAGTTGAATAATTTATTAAACTATAAATAATTGATTATTCTATTTACGTCCAAGTTAATACTAACCCGTAAGTTATTAAGAATAACTTATTTGACTTTTAAATTTGGAAACCAAATTTAGACTACACAATAAATTCTTTATACATATTATCTCTCAATTTTTTATTTTTTATTTTTTGGTTACCTTATTGTTCAAATTTATCAACTAATTCTCTAAAATTAAATTACAAATTTTAAATTTTATTAACTAATATTTGTTCAAAAATCTTTCTGATATTCAAAAGGAATACAGATCGATTTGAAAAATTATCATCAAAATCGTGTTGGTCGATCAAATTTTTAAGAGAAATGATGTACATATTGTATTATTTAAACCGTAAAGTTGTGAATTATTTGTAGAATAAATTAATTTGTATTATATGAAATCCGCAATTTTTGGAATAAATCAATTCGTAGCTTTTGAGCCTACATTATATGGAATCCTCAATTTTTGAATTGTTATATTCTAAATAGTTGTATATTAAATAGCCACTATTGTGTGATTTTATGCATCATAACTGACTCATGAACCGACCTTTCAAACGTGTTGGGGTGAATCAATGAAGATATTATTTAACAAAATCAGTTAGTACTAATCACATTAATCGTAGTAGTTGGAATCCTCAATTTTAAAAAATATTTGAAGTGATATGTTTTTATCATGTTTAGGAAACTGGTGCATTCTTTAATTAAAAAAAAAAATCAATTTTAAACAGAAGGCCAATATAATCGGTTAAAAAAAGGAAGTCAAATATATTGCTAAAATAAAAATATGTTTTCCAAATGAAAAAGAACTTGAATTTATCCAATATGCAAGGAATCTCATCCAAAACATATTGAACTCATCCAAAACATACTGAATTTCGGAATGAAAAAAATTCAAACTTTCGAAAAAATTTCAAACAAAATATTAGAGGAAAAAAAGTGATTTGAGCGATAAAATGAAATAATTTTTCAAATATTTTTTCTTCTCTCTATTATATAGTAATAGATTTAACTCCCTCGATCAATATAAAACCACACTTTATTAAAATGAGTGAAAAAGAAGATAAGGCCAAGGAGCCACTCCATATCAAAGAAAAGAAAAAACCTAAAAAATGGTGATATTAGTTATACCCAAGTTAATATTGAGGCTGACCATGAAAACATGTGAACAAAACATTCCGCGATCCATTGCTCCTTTGTAATTTACGGGCAAAACAAACCAAATATAGCATCAAATACTGTCCAGACATACAACACAATTTCCGGCCAAGCCCACAGTCCTTTGTCCTTACAAATATCCGAAATTCCCCTCTCAACAAATATCATTCTTTTTGTTGTTGCAGCTTCCTCTCTAAGTAAATAAATAAAATAGAGAAAGTGCTGCAACCAACCAACCAATAAAATAAAATAAAAATGGCACGCCAAGTGTTTGTTGTTGCTCTCATCTTGATCGCCGCCTTTGCGGCGGTGGCTTCCGCCCAATCCTCACCGAGCAGCTCCCCATCATCAGCACCAGCTGTCTCCCCTAAGGCAGCGACTCCCACCTCCCCATCAAAGCCGAGCGCCGCCCCAGTGCCGGAGGAAGAGCCCTCATCACCTCCCGTCCCCACCAAGGCCGCCACTCCATCTCATGCTCCCGCCGCCGGCGAGGCACCCAGCCCGGCCGAAACTACCGACGCACCCGCTGCAGGTGCCGCCTCCCTGAAGATCTCTGCCGCCGTTGGTGCTGCCGCGGCCGCTGGATACTTTTTCATTTAAATCTTAAATTAATCATTTTCCATTTGAAACACAACAATGTGGGCCCCATTTATGCAATTCAGTTCGTTGAATCGACATTTAACAAAGAATTGGTAAGTCATTATCATTTTAAATTATTTTTAAGGAATAGAATATATAAAAATAGTAAATAAATATATAATGAGTCCCATCTATAACATATTTAAATGACACAGCTAATATAAAATAATGTTTAATAAAATGATGAAATAGAAATGATGTGAATGATAGAGAGTATAGTTTTTGTCAAATTAATGGTATTGATATAGATGCCCCTAATGATGTATGACTTATGGCGACTAGTAAAAAGTTAAAACTGATTAAAATAAGTTTTAATTGGATCGGTCTTCTTTTACTCACTTTAATTCAAAATCTAATTCAAGCGTACACTATATTCAATATTATCAATATAATTAAATAATATCAAATATTTATCACCTACATTACATCAAATTTTATTCACTATTTATACAATAATCTTTTTAACTACCTATCACTTTTATCATCTTTATCCTACTTTTCAATCACTTCTACTTCAATCATCAATTTCTAAATAATATTTAATATACTTTGTCTAATCTCACCCAATCATCTTTATTTAAAATTAATAACTCACTTTAACTCAGGATCCTATCAAAATCGATTTTAACTTGTTACAATACCTAACAAATTTCTCCCTTCAGTGTTCTCATCGTACATGATTGACTCAAATTAAAGTTTTTCAATCGAGTGAAGCTTTTATTTGGCCATGTCCATTTGTTTCACTAATTTCACTTCACCATGTTGATCATTTTTTAATTTCTTTTGCTCACTTCTGCTTATGTGAATCGCTGGCAGTTTTGGATTTGTTCGAATTTACTTCACCGTTTTCAAATAATATACTAAATTTGAAAAATATGTGCCACATTTTCATTCTCTATTCTAAAAAGGTTGATCTTTTCGATTTTTACCTCAGATGTTCTTTGTATAAATAATTAATAGAAAAAAAAATCTCTGTTGCTTGAGCTATAAAAATAAAGTGTCGCCTAATTAGGAAATAACTATTTTCACCTCGTTCTGGAGATGGACTAAGTTATTCAGACTCTTATTTAATAAGTTAACTTTTTCACCCCCTAAGTCCGAAACAAATTGCATAATATGCAATGCGACAGACATGTGAAGATATAAAGTGTGAAATATCCATGCGATAAACTCTGCGACAGACATTTGAAGATAATTATCAAAGTGTGAAATAATTATGCGATAAACTATGTGACAGACAGACAAAAATAATCGAGTAAGTGCGATCTCATTATGCAAAACGATGCGACAGAAAGGCAGGGTTAATTGGGCAAGTGCGATATAATTATAAAATCAACTATGTGACCGAAAGGCGAAGATAATTAGACATGTGTGAATTGCTTATGCGATAAACTATGCGACAAACAGACAAAAATAATCGAGCAAAGTGAAAAATACATATGTGATAAACTATACTATAGAAAGAGAAAGTTAATTGAGAAAGTGCAAAATAAATATGTGATAGACAGACGAAGTTAATTGAGAAAGTAAGAAATAAATATGTGATAAATTATACGATAGAAAGACGAAGTTATTTGAACAAGTTAAAAATAAATATTTTATAAACTTTGCGATAGAAAGACGAAGATGATTGAGCAAGTGCGATATAATTATGCAATAAACTATATGAAAGACGAAGTTAATTGAGCAAGTGCGAAATAAATATGCGATAAGTTATACGACAAAAAGGCGAAGATAATTGAGTAAGTGCGTAAACATTATGCAATAAACTATGTGACAAATAGACATTTTGTATGAACAGTTCTATTTGATCGCAGATCTATCGCATTTTAGTCGTAGATAAATTTTATTTTACAAAATTTATTTTATTTTAATATTAAAATATGCGATTATTAGGTGAATTTTTATGAGCATAACTAATCGCGCATTAATTTATTTGGAATTTTATTTTTGGTAACTTTGTACTATGCGATTATTACTCCATAGCTGTTCCGATGCATATTTGTAGCATAGTTATTATATATAAAAAAAAGAAGAAAAAACAGTAGTGGAAATGTTTTAGATACGCTAGACAGACTGCCAAAGAGATACGAATATTGTATAGTAAAATCATTATATTTATTTATTTTATAAAATGCGTTAAACTATGATCTGCATAACCATTTCTTTTATTTTTCTATTAAAATGTGTTAAACTGTGTCACTGCAACAACCTTCATGGAATTTCTTTAAGACGTACCGACCTTCGTTCTCAGTGATGCACCTCAAATGTGGTCCTGAATTACGATCTCTTATGGAGCACTTCTCCTTACTCAAAGAATCTTTTGATGTACTTTAAATTTCCTTCTTTCATCTTGCGTAATATAGGGGCTCTCCAATTCTCGACCTCATTGATTTCATCCATCTCGACTGGACTCTTTTCCATGTGTAGTGAACTTAATCTCAAAATCACCCTACAACTACCCCACTACCAGCTGGGAGTTTGATTGTATTTGAACTTGGCAAGCTCCTCTAATTATGGCCAACTGAAATCGTTTTGGTAGCACCTCATATTTAGCCTCATTGTTTGGCACTCGAAAGCCACCGTTGTCGCAAACTCCAAGTTATCACCATTTGGCAAGATCAGGACGATTCCCAAGCCTACTCCACCATTTGAAACTGACCCGTCCGCAAACATTTTCCACTTACATTCGGCTTCGAGATCAACACATGCTTCTTCTTGAATAAAATTAGCTAGGACCTGAGCCTTAATCGCTCTCTAAGGTTCATATTCGATAGTGTACTCACTTAGCTCGATAACCCAATTCCCCATTCGACCCGAAATAGCTGGTTGCCCACGTGTCTCACCTAAAGGTATATTGGTCCCTACTTGCACTTTGTATGTTAGAAATACGAACTCAACTTTCGAACAGTGATGACCAGTACCAGTGCACCCTTTTCGATCATTGAATACCTTAGCTCAGCCCCTTGCATAACTCAACTAACATAATAAATTGCAGGTCCTTCGTCTTTTAAGAGCACCAAGCTCACTACTGTCGTGCCAATCGAAATATACAACACCAGATCTTCACCCTGAAAAGGATTTGTTAATAATGATAGATCTTCTAATACAACCTGCACCTCCTTGAAGGCCTTCTACGCCTTCTATGTCAAAGAAAATGTAGAGCGCTTTTTCAGTGTTTTGAACAATGGGCCACTTTTTTTTACCACCTTCGATATAAATATGCTTAATCTCATTATCCTTCCCGTCAAGATTTGAATTATCTTAATGTTCCTGGGTTTGTTCGAATAAACTTTAATTCGCCACTTTGTGACCATATATCTCAAGAATTTTCTTGATTTTACACCAAACGAGCACTTAGCTGGATTGAGCTTCATCTCGTACCTCCTCAGAGTGCTAAACTTTTCTCTCAAATCTGCCACATGGTCGATCTCCAATCTATTCTTAACAAATATGTCGTCAACATAAACCTCCATGTTCCAACCTAAGACTATATTTATCCACAACCCAACCCAACCCAACCCAATAATAAAAAATTATTTCTCTTTCCTCCACCTACATAACCCAACTTTTAACAGCCTACATATCTTTATCCCCAACCCAACCCAACATAATATTTATTTAATTTTTATTTATTTATTTATTAAATATTATCTACAATAGATTTTTTTGGTATTTTTTTAGTTGTGAAATTAAGAAAAATAAAAGAGATGAAAAGACTAATAAGGTATGGTTAAAAAAAAGATGAAAAGAGAGAAATTTCAATTGTGTTTCAAAACATATCAAGAGTGGTCTCTATTTATAAAGAATGAAAAAATACGAATTTTGATAATTTTTTATTTTTTAATATAAAATAATATCAATAATTTGAGTTATATTTATCTTATCACATTAAAATTAAGGAAGGCCAATCAGAAAGGGACAAGTGTCCCATTCCTTATCCAATCCCAATAATAATTGAATTAAAAAATAAAAAATAAATAAAAAAAAGGAAAAAGATGTGGCGGCCGGTTGCGACCCAAGGTCACAATGTGACCTGGGTCGCTCAATTTTCACGNTCCTGGTGACCCATTAGGTTGAGTCACCGATAACAATGGTCTAACTGCTCCTCGAAGATCTTATCGACTGGTCATTGATAAGTTGCACCAGCATTCTTCAGACTGAATGACATCACCACACAGCAGTACGTTCCCCTGCTCGTGACAAAGCTCACTCTTTTTTTTTTATCTTCCCTTGCAAACTAAATTTGATGGTATCATTGTGAGGCATCCATTAAGCTTAATAGCTCACACCCTACTGTCAAGTTGACCAGTTGGTCGATCCTGGAAAGAGGATAATGGTCTTTTAGGCACGCATTGTTCAAATCACGAAAAACTATGCACATCCTTCACTTGACCTCTCTTTTTGTCATCATCACTGTATTTGAAAACCACCTTGGGAAGTGGATTTTGTCAAAGTGACCTGCTTTTAAGAGCTTATCGACAACTAGCTCAATTACCCTATCCGTCTTTGCTCTATGATGTCACCTCTTCTACCTCAGCGGTCGAACTTTGAGGTTAATGTTCAACCAATTTTCAATAATACTCGTATCAATCCCATCAATTCCTCTGAGGTATATGCCAATATGTTTGAGAACTCCCTGGTCAAGCTAATCAGCTCACCCCCCCAAAGGGTCTACAGGATTTTCCCTTAATCATCTGAATCTTGACCACCTCCTCTCTGGGCTACATCTCACATTTCTGCTTCTTTTTCTCACCCTTCGACCTTACCTCTTCTTTTTTCGAGCTACTCGCTCCCTTAGCTCTGTTATTATCTTCTTTCTTTCACCTTGTCTTATAGACTTCACCGTGACCTGATAACAAGACCTCGATGTTAGTTGGTTCTTTCGACCTCCCAAACCAATTCACCAATCTGATACTTAATCTTCATGTGGTAGTTCAATACCGTAGCCTGGAAGATATTCAAACTTGGCCTCCCTAAAATAATTTTGTACACTGATTCAGCTCCAACGACAAAAAATCTAACCGTTTTCATGTTCCTTCTTGGGCCCATCACCAGGGCGACTGGTAGAGTAATTTATCCTATGGGGACAACCTTCCTTCCATTAAAACCAATTAGAGATGTATTCACCTCCTTTAATTCAATCTCCTAGTTCATCTTTTTAAAACAATCATAAAAAATTACGTCTACTGAGCTCCCCGTGTCGACAAATATTCGTTGCACATTGTAACCAGCGATCTTCGTCGAGATCACCAAAGCATCATTGTGGGGCACGTGAAGACCTTTGATGTACTCCGATGGAAGCTTATCATCGGCTCTCAAGCTATAAAAGTGACCTTCTCCCTCTTACGTTTAGCATTCGAGCGTGTTGCTTCTGTGCATTATTTGAATATCCATCTGTTGGTCCTCCAGAAATCATGTGGATCACACCCCTCTTGGGTGTGGCTTCCTCTTCTTCGACCTCTCGGTTCCTTTGTCTTTTACTCGATCCCCTCCATCACATCTCCGGTCTTAAATTTCTCTGTCCTTATAAATGAATTCCTTGAGGTGACCTTCCATGATCAACCTCTCGATATTGTCTTTCATATGTCAAAAATTAACAATATAGACCCGACTTCGGTTACGTGGGGATTTCCTTCCTCGACCTTGGCTATGTCACCATACTCTTATCCAGTTTCTTTTCTAAGGCCTCAAGCAGCTCCGCCAAATGCAACCTTAGTGGTACCTTCGGTTACGTGAGCCAACTCTTTCTTTCTTGTTCTTTAATCGAGACAACTCCTCTGCCTCTTCCATATTTATATATTTGTTGTACCTTGCCAGGACCTCGTCATAGGTCATCGTCGGCTTTTTGTCCGACGAGCTCCTGCATGGACCAGCTCGAAGACCTCTGGTCAGCCCTCCGGCCTTGACCTCCTCCGAGGTCGAACGGATTTCGAAAAATGCACGGGTATAACTACCAACAAAACTTCCCAAATTCTATCCGCTCTTCTGCTGCATCGCCATTAAAGTTAGATAGATATTTTCTTGTGACCTTGCTCTAGCAAACTGGTTGAGAAACATGTTTACAATCAACTCGAAATCTTTGATCGACCCCGGGGTTAGCTGGTGGAACTAATCTTGTGCTCCCCCGTGTAGGGTCGCCAAAAATGCTCTGCAACTCTTAGCATCTGCATAACCATGTAGAACAACCATATTTTCTAATGACCTCAAATGTCGGGTTGGATCCGTAAACCCAACATATGTGATACTGAGCTCTCGAAATCTGTTTGGCAGGTCGGCGTCCATGATTCGCTAAGCGAATGGGTGACCACAAGCTCTCCCCACTTTTTTTTTTCCTTCGACCTTTTCTTGCAAGTCCTTTAGTTGTTCAACAATTTTATCCACCATAAAGTCACGATGTGGTCCACCGTCTGTGCTGCTCGAAATTTCAACCTTTGGGTCCCTCTTTGTTGTCGCGGTAACAGTGACTGCATTTGACAATATTTTAGGCACACCCGGTCGCTACTGTATCAACTATCATTTTACTCAACTTAGCCTTCGTCAGGGTAACGAAGTGTTGATCTGATGGCTTGACCACACTTCTTGGTGGTCCCATTGGCATGACCGCAGCTAGATCTGGTTGTGTCTAGTTTGGAACCACGACCTTCATACCCGATCTGACCTCCACCTTGTTGCTCGGGCCTCCAATAACAATAGGGAATGTCAATGAGCTTCTATGCACAAAGGGTTAGGCATCAGGGTCATCGGGTCTAAAATGACCTGAAGAAGCCCGACGGTGGACCTGCTCTGAGGGGACGCGTGGTGGTCCGCGCATCGTAAAAAATAAGCTCTAAATAATTTATGGGAGCTTCGTTCGACATGGCTGAGGCTATGTGGTGACCTTTTGAACGATTTCCCCACAGACGGTGCAAAAATGGTGTGCAGCGACCTCAATCTATCTTGCACGATCCAGATCTATGTTCGGACATGTTCGTAGACCTGCAAAATGGGCTCGGAGGGGTTCCTGGGGTTAGCACTCTGACGATCAAGTCAGCCCATAGTGATGAAGACGATGAACAGTAGATATAAAGCTCTGTAAATATATAAAGTGTGTAGAGTGCAAATGAACATACCTCACCACTTTATATAAGGGTGTTACATTGTTGGCTCAAGACTACCCAAATGAGCTGCCCAGACTGCTCGAACTGCTCGATCGTACTGCCCGAACTACCTAATTTTGTTAGGATACATAGCCCAATCCACGTGTAGTTCTTATCTTAATAATATTCTTTCTTATTATTTAGTCTTCTTTATAGGCGGTCTAACCTTGTGAACAGCTCGTTCCTTCATGAGGCAGATTGTCTTCCCAGCTAGGCTCATGTACGATGTCTCTTAGGTTGATCCTTCAACCAGCATACCTCCAGGTCGGGGTTTTTTTCCTCCATCCGAGGGCCCTAGCTCGACCTATCAGTGATACCTCTTCAAACAGCTTCCTCGTCGACCTGTGGACTCCGTTCGACCACTAGCATCGATCGACCTACCTTTTCACCCGATCTAGTTGGCTGGTTTCTAGGGTCCAGTCAACGCAACATTGTATCACATATCAAATTCGTTCTTGGGTGTCTGACTCGTGCTGGCACTTGTTCGCTGTGGAGAAGGGCTTTATTGTAGCTATTGTTTGATTTGTTTTGTTTTTTAGGTTCTGTGTTTGTTTAGTGATTGTGTGTATTTGTTGTGGTGGTGTTTTTCTCCTCTTTTATAAGTGTGTATTCTTCCATTTGGGACTTGGGAGTGTGTATT